ACTTCCAAGGCACTAACCCTGACAGTGGGAAATACACACCAAGGACCCAGGCACCTGAGAGAGAGGGGAAAGAAGACACATTCCTGGTGAGATGGTTCCTAAAGGGCCAACCCGCAAGATCAGTGGCTAAGAGGGGCATGAAGGAGGGGCCCCTTCATTCTTGCAGCTTGAGCTGCTAACACTGTTTGTGACCCTACAGCAAAGCCTGAGTCCCCCACTGGTCTACATTCCCCCTTGCATTACAAGGATTAGGTCACTGTGAGCCCTGATTTGCCTTCCTTCCCAATAAACTGCAGGTATCATAGTAATACTGTAAATTGCTTGGATCAGAAGTCTGAATCACAGAAGAGATCCCCAATAATGCTATTCATGCCCAGAAAATTGATCCTGGGTTATTTATTGTTTCCAGCACTTCCCTTCTCTCCATCTCTCACTGCAGGCCTGTCTCATTCTGAGAGGCCTGGTGTGCAAGGGCAGCCAAGAGTGACTCCGAATTTCCCTTTGTGCTTGGCTGATGGCCTGGCCCACCATCTGCAGTCCTCCTGGGGTCCAGGTCTTGCCTCTGCAAACGCAACAGCACATGAAAACATGTGCTTGCCCCAGTAGTTCAGCTCAGACTGCATCACATTTGGACACCTTGCTGAGGACAGGACTAAGAAGAAAGAGGCCTGTCTGTAGAATTGTACCAGGCCTCTGTTAAGTGCCTTCCCAGCTACAGACATCCATGCTCACTCATCAAACACTAGGAGGCAAAACACAGTGGATTCTGAAGCCAGGCTCCCGAGTTTGAATCCTGGCCCTGCCATTCTAATGGCTGTGTGTCCTTGGCCAGTTGTTTCAGCTATTTGCCCAACTGTAAAATGGAATGACATCCAGCTGTTATTTATTACATATCAAGCACCTCTATACCCCAGATGCTGTTGATGTCAGGGGTCAGCAAACACCTTCTATGAGGTCCAGGTAATAAATATTTTTGGCTTTATAGGCCTTAATGTCTCTGTCCCAGCTAGTCATCTTTGCTGTTGTAGCCCCAAAGCAGCCATAGACAATACACAAATGAATGAGAGTGTCTGTGTTCCAATAAAACCTTACTTATGGACACAGGAAATTTGAGTTTCATACAAATCCACATGTCACTAAGCATCATTCTTCTTTTGATCTTTTGATTTATTTTTTTAAATGTAAAAACTACTTAGCTCATAGCTATATAAAAATAGGTGGCAGGCTGGATTTGACCCATGGGCCATAGTTGGCCCACCCTAGTCTAGGTGTTAGAGATGCGGATGCTGATATGGCCCACGGTCAGAGCTTACAGTGCAGACAGAGCCTTCCTGGGCTGCTGCGGGCCTGGGAGCCAACAGGCTCCTTCACTGCCCTCATGCTACTTTGCCTTCACCAAGGTCGGAGACCTCATCTTAAAAGCCCCTCTTGAAATGGGGAGCGGGGGAGCAACTCAGCTCCAAGCCCCAGCATTTCAAGCTCTAACTCCTCTGAGATGAACCTCGAAGGCTGCAGAGACCCAGTGCACACGTCTGACAACAGTCACTGATCCAGCACACGAGCTAACCTGGTATCAGGCACCACCATATTCTAGAAACAGCACCAGCCAGCAACAGCAAGTCCTGTCTGACTCCATGTGACATTTGCCTCTTGCCTCTTTGAATCTTAAATCTACCACTTGAATTATACAATTACCATGAGACATTTCTGGATAGGTGTTCTGTCTCCCAGTGTAGGCTTCAAACCTAGAAACCTTCCATACCACACGCCTTATGCATTTCCTTGGCTCCCACGGAGCCACTGGTGCTGCACAGCCCTGGGTCTGGACTGCCATATTCTTTCCATTAATCAGTTGAAACTGCGACACACTCCTAAGCTCTTTCTTTCATGAGGGGCTTCAGGGGGAAGGCTGGAAACAAGTTATCTTTCCAATACAGCACTCTGACAGATCAACAGAGAATCTGATCGCTAAAGACCTGGCCTGGAGACACTCAACAACATCATATATTTAAGTAACAGAAAAGAAAGTTTTTGTTAAAATGACCCTCTGAGCAGCAGCTGAGTTCTAAGTAGACAAAAGAGTGCCATGTGGGTGGGGATTGGCCCCCACCAAACCCTGTTGCTCCAGGAAGAGTTCTTCTAGGAAAGCCCTGGAAGGGCAGGCCCTGCCTGTGGTTGCCATGAGCTCCAAGAATCCAGGCTTCCCACCCAGAGCCCCCAAAGGTGTGGCCAAAGGTTAATAGGCTGCGAAGGGAGGACAGAAAGCATATAATAAGGGCCCATCAGACCTGCTAGATACCAGAGGGCAAGCAAAGAGAGACTCAGACAGGCCCACTGAGACCACGTTCAAGCTGTGAGTAGCCACTGAATTAAGTGGGTGGGGGAGGTTATTAGCATGAGGACAGGGCAAAATGGTGGTATGGTGTGAGCAGAGCCAGCCCAGTTCAGAGGTCTACAGACACAGTTGACCCACACCTATGTCCCTCTGGTCCCTCCAAATACTTAAGTGGCTTCAGACTGAGACCCTCTAGCAGATTTCCAGAATAGTGGGTTAAAGCCTCACATCATGAGCAGAAGCAGGAGCTGCCCTGAGGCATGGAGGCTGGAAGGAGGAGCAGGTGGGTGTTCATTCCTGGCAAAAGGGAAGCAGTTTGGGGTGGGTTTAACTGTAGGCCAGGAACCCATGCCAGAGCTCAGCATGAATGCAAGACTCCACTTGGCATGGAGACTTTGCTCTGGAAAGGTAAGGGGAATAGCAGGTCCCTAGGGAGATTACACAGCTAGGCAAGATTAAGCAGGTCTGGCACTACCCCAGGAGGGAGAGGGAGGAGACAGACACCCACCCCTCCAGAGCTGAGCCCTTGAAGGTTGAGCCCCATTCCTGGTGACAGAAAAGAGAAATCAGCACCTCATCATACAGTGAAAAGCTCTCACTCTGAGCTCCCCAGAACACAAATGAATGTGGGTGACATGCCAACTGCCAGTTGGATCAAGAAAATGAGCAGCAATTGGATTTTGCCTTTTTTTATTTAAAGTTTTTATTGATTCTTATGGAGTGAATTAAATGAGAACACCAGAATAAAAAGGGATCTATAGCATCTCCGTGAAGGAAATGGGAAGCCATAAATGTGACAGGGCTCTCTCCACTTGGAGGGAAAACAGGACCCCATAGACTCTACAGGGAAAGGATAGGACGAGAGAGGAGGACGGTGACTGGGGGCTCCCTCACTCCATCCTCTGTTCTGCTCACAACCCTTCCGGTACTCTGTATAGAGTCTCAGCTTCCCATAAGGTGGTCTTCAGTGGGTGGGTGGTCCTTCTGACCCTACTGGGAATCTGTTATGCAACTGGTAAGGGAGGCTTTGGCTGTCTGAGCTCTTGTGTTCTCACTCATTAACTTTTAGCAAGATGGAGGGAGAAAGCAGGAAGAGCTCAGCAGGACCTCAGGACGGCAGAGGGAGTGTCCTGCTTAGTCAGGTGGCACTAGATGACTGGAGAGATGGGATGGAAGCCCATAGCCTTAGAAGATTCTCTCCAAGGGAGAGTTGGGGTTGGACCCACAGAGAAGCTCAGAGGCCATCCCAGGGCAGGGCCTCTCCTGCCAATGGAATCAAGGCTGCCCAAGGGCTGTGAGAGCCCCCACTTGGCCCCCAGAAGACTTTATCTGAAACCCTATAATTAGCCCAGCCCTGCTGCAGCAGAGGCGGCCCCTGGTCTCCCCCACCCCTGCTCTGAGGGCCGGTCCCTGTGCTCAGCTGCCCACCCAGCACAGGAATGTTGGTATCCACCATAGATCCAACAGGCCTGCCTCCTCCCATACCCTTCTCCACCTTCTGGGGGCAGAGGCAGTATGAAGTCGGGTATTAACACAAGCACCAGGCTTCAAAAGGCCAGGATTCCAGCCCCCACTGCCTCTGAATGAGCCCCTCCATCTCCCCCAAGGCTCCTCCCCTCCCCAGAGAGCACCTGCTCCCAGGTGAGCATGAGGATAGATGGGAGCAGGCTTGGAATGGGGCACCATGCACTCATGTAAGGAATCAATTGAGGCTGGCACCTAGCAGGCAGTGCCCCCCCAACAGCAGGACCATCTTGTCCCCAACCAATGTCTGCCCAGTTACACCCTGCTTCTCAAGTCCCTGAACTTCTGAAGTCACCACAGCCTCTGTTCCTGACAGGTCTCTGCAGCCCAGCTTCCTGTCCATTATTCCAGACATACCCACTCTCTGGGATATGCATGCTGGCACCCCTCCCACATTCTGAGTGTACGTGTGGTGGGTGCCTTGCAGGGAAGAGGTCCCCTCCCTATCATTTCTGGATGGCGACCAACAGGCAGCTAGCTGGAGCTGGCGAAGGGCTTGTTCCAGAGCCAGCGATGGCCCCAGGTGGGCAAAAAGCCCGCCCTCAGCTCTCAGATGCTGCTCCACGCTGAACATTTCCATCTGGCTCTGCCTCCACATAAACAGAGTCCCAGCCTCTTCCTTCCTAGATCCAGGACCTTGGCCCAGTGCCCCCAAGTACAGCTGGGCTCATCTGGGCCTCAGTCTGTCCCTTTTGCCATCCCAACAGGGTCAGGAAGCACGGAGGGCTCCCTGGATCTTGGGGCATAGTTCTGTTGGTCATCTTGGAGTTTTTCCTCTGAGACATATAGAAAATGTCTTTCCTTCCCTTTCATGAGCCCAGCTGAGCCCAGAAGATCTCACCTGTAACAAAGAGAAGGGCTGACAAGTGGAATGATTCTTCCCTGGTGTGCGGTAGGGGGCTGGGGGGCCTCTCCTTGGCACTTGGTCAGCTCTCATGGCTCTGGGGCAGAGAAGGAGCTCTGAGTCATTTGGTAAAGCCCCACCCCCAGCCCAAGTCCAGAGAGGCTCAGCAACTTGCTCCAGATCACACAGCTCCAGGTGGGGTGTGGACCAGAGCTAAGGCCCCTGCCTGCAGTGCAGCAGTCTGCCATTGTGCCCTAAACGTGGTGTGAGGACCTTCTCTTGTTGTCCAGCTTCAAGATGGTGTCCCGCAAGGCCATGGCTGCCCTGCTGGTGGTGCATGTGGCCGCCATGCTGGCCTCCCAGACAGAAGCTTTCGTTCCCTTCTTTACCTACAGCGAACTCCAGAGGATGCAGGTGAGCCGTCACAACATGACTGAGGTGACTCACAACCCCGCTCAGCACTGAAGTGGTGTTAACCTCTCTAAGGCATATGTGTTCCTTTCGTAAACCCATGTCTGATCAGCTATGCCAGGGACACCAAGGAGAGCGCGTGAAGAACCAGGACCCAAGATAACCCCAAACTCCAGCTGTGTCCCTGGCCACCTTAACTCCTCACCAGCCCCACTCAAAGGTAACGGGCTCCCACGAGTGACATCTTTTCCTGGCCCTACCCATCCTTCCAAGGAAATTTTCAATCAACAATCCAATAAATGTTTGCTGAGCAACAATACAAAGGGCCACCCTAGGTGAGAGGTCAGACATATGAGGAAATCTAAGAGCCTCCTGTCTTCAAGGCTCAGGAACCAAGATACAAACATGGGAAAAATTCACTAACAATAGAAAATGAAAGGGAGATGTCACAAGGTAGGACATGATTAATTGCCCAATAAGTGATGCTTATGGCTGGTGCTGAGTTCAGAGGAGGGAGAAATCACCAGGGCTGGTGTGTTCAGAAGCCTGCAGGGAAAAGGTGAAACTGGAGCTGGGAACTTTGAAAGAGGGAGGGAAGAATTGGTGGGAGCAAATGTCCAGAGTGGGAAAGAACGTACCTTTCCATGGAAAGTGGCCAAAGCTTGCTCTTCAGAGCCCAGAAGAAAGCAAGGCAGGTTTAACAGAACTCAGGCAGAGGGGCCTAAGGAAGCCTGTCCATCTGGATCTGCCTTCCTGTGCCTGTTACTTTAGACATCAAGGGGTTCTGAGTGTCTAGTGCAGACATTTGTTTCCCTAGATGAAGAAAGGGGACTTTCATATCCCATGTGTCTGAAGCTGAGGCTCTAATATGGTCAAATACATGAGTCAGGTCTTGGGAAGTCACGTGGCCCAGTGCTTCAGCCTTTGTATGTACCTACTCGGTCCAGGGCAGGTTTCCACATACCATCACAGAGTACTTTACAGAGGCATAGCTGGAGTCAGCTCCCCTTCTTCAGGGACAGCCATGGAAACATGGAGATCGGTGGGCCCCTCAACACACCTTCCTCCACCATTGGCTCCCTCTCCAAAAGAGATGTCCAGTTGTTCTCGAATCACCATGTCTCAGGGCAGGCCTGGAGCTGACTCCCAAGAGTGTCCACTAGAGAAACTAGAGGAATGAGGTGTGTCTGATCTCAGTGCTCAGGGACACGCAAGCAGGATGCCAGGCAAGATCTGGGGCTGGACACTCACAGTCAAACTCAGAAGAACATAAACTAGCAAACTGGCAAGCAAAGGACACTATATTAATCTGTTCTGTGGTTTTGCTCCTGGTAATTGCCAGGCACCGGGATTTTTATGAAGAAGCTGCAAACTCCTTCCTCCATAATTCATCTCCCTGTCTCATCTCTTATAAATCACCTCCCAGGGACTCGTTTCTGGGCCACCCCATGGCGCCCTCCCAAACGAGGCTGTCTTGCCACTTTTTTCATAGGCTCTCTGCTAAGAAACACATTTTCACACTTAATATGCATGAAGGGCAGCCATTATTTTCAGCATTTTAACTTAATTAACAGTAACAATCTGGCTATAATGTTTTAACTACAAAGAAACGATTCCTCTTCAAATTGACTTCTTGGTGGGCAACACCAAGGGCCATTCATGGGCCACTGGGTGTCTGGTACTATTGTGCACAGACACCTGGGGAGAAGGGGTTCTTTTGGCCCAAGAACTCAGGCCACTTAGCACCTGGGCAGAGGCAGGCAACGTGGTGGTGGAGGGAGGGCAGGTTTTGTGCAATTTTATGCTTTGCCCCTAGGAAAAGGAGCAGAACAGAGGGCAAAAGAAATCCCTGAGTGTACAGGAGAGGCCTGAGGAAGTGGATCCTCTTAACCTTGTGAAGCCCCAAGAGGGAGAAAGAGTTATCAAAGTGAGCAGACAGGGGGAAATGCAGAGAAATCTGGTGGGATGATGGTTCCCCTGGCCGGCCACAGAACATGCAAGGATACAGCAGTGAACCAGATATCTGGGCAACAAGCTCCATCCTAGGAGAGACAGACAGACACCAATAAACTATTTTAGGCACCAAATAAGTAGGAAGACAGAGAGTGAGAAGGTGGGGCCTGGGGGCACTGCTTTGTCTTGGGAGCAATCAGAGAGGGCCCCTTGGAGGAAGTGACATTTGATTTTTAACCTGAATGATGAGAAGGAGCCCACCCCAACTCTCAACCCCATGCAAATAGCTAGAGCAAGAACATCCCATAAGGAACAGTGAGTGCAAAGGCCCTGCTCAGAAAGCACATGGTAGGTTTGAGGCCCTCAAGGCCAGAGTGTACTGAGAGAGGGCAAGAGGTCAGCAGGGCCTGGTGGGCCAGGCAGGATGTCTGGGAGGCCACTAGAGATTCAAAGTAGGGAAGTCACCTGATCCAACTTAGGAAGATCTGGGGCAGCACAAGTGGAGTCAGGAGACCATTCAAGAGGCAGTTGCAGTTCTCAGGAGAGAGATGACAAGGGTGCCAGTCTGGACAGGAACCCAGGAGGTGGCTGCAGCACCCAGACCCAGGGCTGGGGCCTTCAGAGCTAAGTCAGGGTGCACAGATTGTAGGGGCTGAGGAAAGCCTGAGCTTGGCTAGCCCAGCTCTTTAATTTCACACTCATTTATTCGGGCGATGAACATTTACAGAGCCCCTGCTATGTGTGAGGCACGGTTCCAGGCCCTGGAGGAGAGTGGTGAACAAAACAGACAAATCCTCTGCCTTGTGGAGCTCACTCTCCAGCGGGGGCCCAGACACAGGATACCAGAAGGACTGGCAAACAGACCACAGACAGGATAAATAAGCAGACTTGACAGTATGGCAGGTAGAGATACAAGGAGGAAAACAAGGCAGGAAAAAATAAGGCAGGATTGCAATTTTAAACAGGAGATCAGAGCAGGCTTCCCAGGTAGATGGTACTAGTGCGAAGACCTGAAGAGAGCAAGGGCGTGGCCCTTAGGCTGTCTGGGGGAGGAGCCTTCCAGGCAGAAGGCACAGTTGGTGCAGAAGCCCCGAGGTGGGTGTGGGCCTGGTGCTTTCAGAGAGCAGTGGGGAGGCTGGAGTGGCTGCAGCAGAAGGAGCTGGGGGGCGGTGGAGAGTAGAAGGTGAGGTCAGACTGTAGGCTTCATAAGCCATTGTTTGGACTTTGCTTTTTCTCTGCTGAGGTGGGAGCCTTTGGGAGCTTTTGAGCAGAGGAGGGGCATGATGCATTCACATTTAAGAGTCTCCCCAGCTGTGTGTTGAGAACTGACTGAAGGAGCAAAGGCAGAATTACAGAGACCACTGAGGAGGCTGCTGCAGCGTGTCAGAGAGCGTGGTGCAGCCCAGGGAGCAGTGGAGGAGGCAGGGCAAAGCGGTCAGATTCTGGAATGTGGAGGTAGAAGCCTCACAGGATAAGTGAAAGATGGATATAGGATGTGAAGAAAGAGAAAAGCAGAAGCTGACTTCAAGGAGGATTTGTCACTTCCTGAGATGCTGAAGATGGTTGGCTACAGGATGGCAGGAGGAAGATCAGGAGGTCCTACTGGACCTGTGAACTGTCAGGTGCCTGTTGGGCATCCAGGTAAAGATGTGGCACAGGCCGGTGGATATACAAGTCTGGACTTCAGGAGAGATCAGGGCTGGAGACCAGGATGTAGGAGACGTCAGTGACTAGATGGAATTTGAAGCTGGAACAGGGTCAGATCCTTGAGGTAGGAGGTGTGGCCGGAGAAGGAAGAAGCCACAGGACTCAGCATGAGGCATGTGTCTGTAAAGGGGCCTGGGAGGGTGGGAATTGATATCCAGAGAGAGGAGGGCCTTGCCAAGGTCACAAGGTAATCAGGGCAGAGCAGAGCCACACTCAGTGCCTCCTGCTTCCCATGGGACACTGGCCAGTGGTCCTTCTAGCCCCTTGGGGCGTCCCAGCATGCTGTCCATAAAGAGTGAGGTGGGACATGTGGCCCAGAGAGTGACCTCGGTGCTGTCACCACACTGAGTGGAGGGGGTGGGGTGCTTCCTTCCTTCCCAGGGGCTTCTTGGGCTCTCGGGAGGGAACTGGGGGAGCCCTTCAGCTGGACAAGGGGAGCTCGCTCAGAGCTGCTCTCTATTTGCCCCTGAGGCAGAGTTAAGGCGCTAATGCCAAGGGCTCCATGGAATGTGCTGACACCTCAGGGAGATTTAGGATGAGGCACCCCTTGTCCCCTTTCCTTCTCCCTAGAGCCAATGACATACAGGCCAGGAGGTCCTTTCCGGATCACCCAGTCCTGCCTTCTCATCTTAAAGCCAGGAAATTGAGGCCTAGAGAAAGGCATACCCATAGCAAGGGGAGGGCAGAGGCGGGGCTAGAACCCAGCCCCACAGAGACGTGTCCCTGGGTGCCCTTCCAGCAACCCAAGCCCTTTTCCCACCCCTGAGGAGTCCGGTGGGAGGTGGTGGAGCGGGCCCGGGACTCCATCTCGGTTCTCCTGGGAGGCAGGGAATCTCTGAGCCTGCCAGCTGATTTGTGCAGCGAGCCCACTGAACCAGGAGGCTCGGGGCTCACAGCACCCCTGGCTCTGCCACAGCAACCTCTGGTGGTGGCGAGCCTCCAGACAGCTCCTCTAGGGCCTCACCTGTGTCCCCGCAGCACTAGAGAAAATGCGGCCTGTTGGTCATGCACACAGACCCTGGAGCCAGACCCCTGGGTGAAATTCTTCTCCCTGTGCTATTTAGGACCTGTGTGGTCTTGGGCAAGTTATTTGAACCCCTTGGTCCTCAGTTTCTTTATCTGCAAAGGAGGACACTAATAGTCTGTACAGCATAGTCACCGAGAGGCTCAGTGTATGTAAAGCATGTAGAATGATGCCTGCCCGTGGCAAGGTGCCAATCAGAAGGGGAAATGATGTGAAAAGCTGGGGGTCTCCTGCCAGCCCCACCCTCCTGTCCCAGCTTCTACACCAGGGTAGCTTGCTGATACTCCAGTCCTAGGTCTCAGTAACTTCCAGGGCCCAGCCCCCTGTTAGAATTGGGGTAAGTGCCAGAATTTCCAGCTGGCCCTAGAAGCCCAGAGGATGGGGTAGCGTGGGGCCAGCAGGGTGGCATGGCTCCACCAGTCCCTTCTTCACCTGTAAGGCAACCAGGGGTTAATGGCGCTCTCTGTGCCTCTCCCTTGTTAACTCTGCCTTATTTCACAGCTGAATTCTCCTGTGGAAATTGGAATGAGGATGAACTCCAGGCAGCTGGAAAAGTACTGGTCCACCGTGGGAGGGCTGCTGAACGAGGTGCTGCTGTCCACCCAGAACGGTACGTGAGGGTGGGTGCCCTGCAGCTGGGGCCTGGCTGGCACCCACCTGTTTTCCAAGCGGCTGAGCAGGGGTGGGGACAGCGATTTGTTTTTCTGTTTTGCACTTGAGAACCTGAAGCCGTCTTCTTCCACAAGTGGGGCAGGCCCAATGGCTGCTGGTGGCCAAGGAGGCCCAAGTCCCCAGTCAGAGTCACTCTAGGCCCTGCCTCAAAGGCAAAGGGCCACAACAAATGACACCCCCCACCCCCGGGAACTTCCCCACTCCAGGAATGTTCATTCCCTCTCCAAACGCCACTGAGGCTGATGGTTACTCTGCAGGAAACCCTGGGGGCAGTCTGGCCACAAAAGCCTGCATTTTCTCATTTGTTCTGCAAATTGAAGTCCTGAGCCCCATTTGGCCTTGCCCTGTGCCTGGGTTACTTGTGCAAAGATAGGACTCATCTGACAAACAGCCACTAATTACTTCGCCTAGTCCCCGGAAGGAGAGGAGCCAGGCAGGGAGGAAGTGCTGGGGGTGGAGGAACCAGGAGGTTAACTGACTTGGCCCAGGCTGCAGTGAAAGCTGGAGGCAGCGCCCCAGACTCCCCACCAGATTGGCCCCTCCTCCCTCGGACCTGCAGGCAGGTTTGGAAGGCGGTTTCATAAGCGGATCTGCTGATGCTGAGGAACTGCCAAGACCTCCTTTGCTTTTCCTCCAGAGACCAAGTGATGCCCACTCCAGGGAGAAGGCGGACTAACTAGGAGCCCCCTCCCATTCGAGGGAGGCCTGGAAACCTGTGGTCCATCCACTGCATTTAGAAGGAAAACACCCTCCAGCAAATAAAGCATGAAACATACAGAAACAACTCTTTTTAATATTTTAATTTCCAAAGGTCAGACTCAGGTGTTGCCATAAAAGGGGAAAAACAAAATTCAGAGGGAGTTGCCCTAAATGGTGCATACAGCAGCAAAAGCTGTGCCTTTGTAAGTTCTCTGTTTAAATATTAACTTAAGACTCATGGAACTGGAATGTCTGTGCCAGTCCTTCCACTAGTGAGGAAACTGAGGCCCAGAGAGATGGCATTTTTTTGCCCACACACTGAGTCAAAGACTCATGGAACTGGAATGTCTGTGCCAGTCCTTCCACTAGTGAGGAAACTGAGGCCCAGAGAGATGGCATTTTTTTGCCCACACACTGAGTCAGTGGCAGACTGTAAGTGTGGGGAAAGGACACCTCGGTGCAAAATACCTCTAAAAGCTGAAATCAGTCAAAGGGAGAAATAAAGTTTAAAACCTGTTTATTGCTTACAAACTTCAGTCCCAGTCCGGCCCATCTCTCTCTCCTGCTCCAGCAGCAGCAAAACTGACCCTCCTCCTCACCTCTCAGGTACAGAGAAGCCCTCCCTGGCCCAGGTAATTACCCACTGATATGGAGATAAACTCTCCACCCCTGAGGAATTATGCAAATCTACTAAAGCCATACTTCTCTCCACTCATGAGCTCCTGTTGATGTGCATATGTACTAAAGCCAGGTGAAATATTCTGGATAAATTACAATTTTACCCACAGGCCCCCTCCAGAAATCCCGCCTTACAATTTACTCGTTCCCCCTCTTCTGACCAAACTAACGACATACAATAGCAACAGCAATAAAATCCTGATAATCCTCAAGCCACAGGATTCAGCCTATGCAGATTAAGTAAATGTAATTTGCAGCACAATCTCTCACTAAGCACAAAATATGTTTCTACACTTGTTTACTCATACCTAACAACCATGCTAGATTACTCACAAAACTTTTACCAAACATGAGACAAAGTCAAGCCTCTCTTTAAGCATTTTTTTTCTTGATAACAGCAATACAATCATGGTAATTCTCAAGCCAGAGGATTCAGCTAGGTTCAAAGTCCTATGCAGATTAAGTCCAAAGCTCATCTATTTCAGCCATCACACTGGCAGCTGCAGCCAGGGGGCGCATCCAGGACACAAGGAATGTAGAAGCAAATAATCGTGATTTAGGGGGGTCACTTTGCTGTTATTCCAGGAATACACAGGAGGCCAGCTTCCAGGCCTTTTCCCCAAGGTGCCAGAAGAGCCAGCCATCACCGATCCATGTGTTGAAATGTCCAGGGCCACGTCTGTTTTTATTCCTAATTGTTGCACCCATTCTTGCAACACATATCCAATAAAGCAGGTGCCTTGATAGCTCTCAATCACCAGCAACCAGCCATAGGCTGCAAAGAGACACTCTAGGCCCCTCTTGGTGGTTTGCCGATCTGCACAACATGCAGGGCACTCCTTCTGGGATCGGATGACTTCTTCAAAGGTCAGTGGCAAGCCCCACCGTTGGGCCCACATCGTCTTTTGCCCCACATGCAGCAAATGCTGATGAGCCACTGGGCCACATCAGAGGCAGGCTTTCCTTCTAGCCAGCGCACCTGGGTCAAAGCATCTACTTCACCATTCCCTGGGGATGCCAAAGGCAAATGGCCAGTCACATGATATATGGTAGGTGCCTGTGCCACACCATTCTGTGGCCTTTGGGTCCAGTCTCTCACCCACCCCGCGATGGGATACGTGGTTATTACCTTGGTCAGAGTTTTTCCAGAGATGGCCTCCATAGCCAACAAGGCGTGGTACACAGCAGCCAGTTGCTTCTCTATTAAGATGTACTGGACCTCTGCTCCTTTCCAGAGTTGTGACCAGGCTCCAGCTGGCAGCAGAAGCAGCAGCAGTGGCAGAAGCAGTAGCCTTAGGCTTGGGCCACAGGCCAGGGTTGGCGTGGCCAGCAGCAGTGGTGGTACCTCCATGACCACACGAGTGTAGACACATGTCCCTCCATGCAAACTCCACTTCTCCCCATCATTTCTTGGGGCAGCCCTCCCAAAGGTCACACCCATTATAAGATTTTGGGTTCAGAGAAACCCTGCCAACTGCACCAGATATAAGTCCAGGGAAAGGAAATCCTGGGGCAAAATACCTCTAAAAAACAAAATCAGTCAAAGGGAGAAATAAAGTTTAAAACCCGTTTATTGCTTACAAACTTCAGTCCCAGTCCGACCCACCTCTCTCCTGCTTCAGCAGCAGCAAAACCGACCCTCCTCCTCACATCTCAGGTACAGATAAGCCCTCTGTTGCCCAGGTAATTACCCACTGATATGGAGATAAACTCTCCACCCCTGAGGAATTATGCAAATCCACTAAAGCGGTACTTCTCTCCACCCTTGAGCTCCTGTTGATGTGCATATGTACTAAAGCCCGGGGAGGTATTCTGGATAAGTTACAATTTTACCCACACAGAGCAAGGTCTGGAATTCTGGTCTCCTGGATCCTCTTCCACTTTCTGTTTACTGACAAGCTCAAGGTCTAATGGGCCAAAAAGTTTTAAGGCCTCTGCACTCACCCCCTTGATGATAACTTCTAGCTAGCCCTTTAACCTCAATGAACCTTTGCAAAAGCAAGGTGGTAATATCTGCCTTGAGATCTGGGGACGAAGGCACCAACAAAGAGCAAATTACTATTATTATTATCACCTTGTGACTACATGCTCCAGTATCTGCAGCAAAATTACACAGCCAACCCAGTTATTTCTGCCTTCTAAACAAAACTGGATGGGAAATTTCAGTCTAATTTAATTTTACATTAATGAATGTTCATTTATTTATAAACTGGGACCAGATAGGCACCACAGCTCCCTCCATCCATAGGTTACCAACAATTAGACACAGTGCCTGTTCTGGATTTCCACCCACCGCGACCACTGTGAGGGCTTAGCCACAGAGAGTAGTTCGGGAACAAGAAGACCCCAACGCTTAAAACGAATCTCTTCTGGGGTGCTCTGAATGCTCCCGAGGAACATCCGAACCTTGCAGGGGACCCAGACCTTGCACACTACACATTCACATTCAATGCACGGACTGATCAAGAGCAGCTGCAGGTTCCCTGCAAATGCGGCCAGGTAGTAAATGGGGAGAGGGGGCTGCACAGCATGTGGGGAGAGAAATGAAGACAAGACCCAGGAATCTATAAAGCATGTGGTTGGGAGCAACTGGGTCCAACACTCCTCCTCGTCCTTCTGGGTTCCACCACACCAGTTCACTCCATTATCTGTAAAACACCCCAAAAAGGCCAGGGAAAAAATGCTCATGGACTCTCTCCATGGAAAATAGAGATTTTGTGGGTTTTCCTCACCTGCTCAGATCTACAGTGAAACTACCTTCTTCCATCACCACCAGGAAGGGGGGCCCTTTCTGGGGGGGGACCCCAGAAGGCTCCATGAAATTTTCCTTAAGATCATCAGATTAAACAGCAGTGCTGAACTCCGTGGAACGGAGGGAAATGAGATACTGAGGAGACTGTGATGGTGTGGTCTGCACTTTTAAATATGGAATTGGTTCACAACCAGGGTACCTAGCAGGCACGAGGATGCTATCGATGCTGCAGAACAGCCCTGTTCAGAGCTCAGCACTGCAGCCAGGTTGTCCCCGTCCCTCACCTGGTGGTCTCTGAGAAGCTGAGTAATGAGCCACAGCAGGGAACCAGCCACCACCTGCATCAGTATGCACTGTGCCCCACCTGCTTATTTGGACATGGTGGCTCCTTTCTTCTCTCATCTTCCTCCTTCTGCTACTGTTCAATTTCTCACAATCAGCTCAAGTGATTTTTTTTCTCCAACGAGATCCTCCAGTTTTCAGGACAGCTGACTCAATTGCTTACTGGACATGCACAGCCCTGGAAGAAATTAAAATTGGGAGGAGGTTGGGGAGGATTCTGAGCTGGGCTGAGAGAAAATGACCATGTTTTCCAAAACAGAAGTAAGAGAGACACACTCTCGGTTAAAGCTATAGACTGCCTGGACCAGGACCCAGCCAGGTGGGGAGATAGGGAAAGTGCCCAGAGGAACCAGCTGGGTGAGGACACTGCTCCTTCTCACATCTCACTGAGGGTTATCCAGCAAAATCTGCAAGAATCTATCCAGATACCTGGCAATTAGAGAGAGTTACAGCTTACCCTATCTTGGTTTGCAATGTACTTTACACTTAACAGGACCACTGGTAATTACAGGGCAACCTGAACCTAGCTTCACAAGATGGAGATGATGAGGTATTTTCTCAGTAACCACATCAGTGTGATTCTATAATTACTGAGCTATGCGGATTCGCCATGAAATTGAATAGTTAAAAGCAAAGAGTAATTGCCTGATACCTGTACTCTGTAATTTAGTATAATCTAATCATGGACAAAGCTCAAAAGAAAATGTTCTGAAAGCATTATGTTTTTCTTCATACACAATTTGTTATTGACACTGGGAAATGTATACTATGCTTCTAAAGGAACTTTTACCAACAGATATCAAAGTGTGAGAGTGGCAAAAAGACAGAGTTTTGTTTAATTTTCAGCTGATTATGAAAAGCAGGTGACATAACTGCCCATTAAACCTTCTGGCTTTTCTCTGTGACTTTATTTGCCCCTTCACTGACCTCGAGGGGATGAAAAAGTGGCTCTCTCTCCCACAGGACAGAGACGAGGCAGCAAGGAGCTGGGCAGTGCTGGGGTCCCATTCCAGTAAAACTGAGCCCAAGATGGCACCCATTCTGTCTGCCCTTTTCAACCATACTCTCCCAGTGCACTCTCCCGCCCCGCCCGTGACACCGTGATGTGGTCTCAAGCAAGCCCAGAATAGTTAAGAGGAATGCCCGAGGCTAGCGAGGAGGTGGATCAAGGACGAGTCCATGGTCCCCGAGTATCTTTTATCTTTAAGGACCTGATAAATGTGTACAGGGCTTTTTGCAGGAAGCGAAGGAGAATGAAAGCACTAAAAGATTTATGGCTGTTATTATTATAAGGCTCTGCTGAGACAGAGAGAGGTCAGCAGGACACAGGCAGCATGGTAGCCCACTGGGAATCCGGAGCATCCTCCCAGCGGCCCCTCACCTCTACTCAATGTGTGGATGTGGTTACTAAGTAGATTTAGACTTTGGAGCTTGTTTTTCCTCTTCTGTCTTTAATAAATCAGGAAGACAGACCACAGCCTGAGCTGCTCACCTTAAAAAAAACCCACAACAAAGTGATGAGAAAGGAGGGCATGCAGGGCAGCGTTGACTTTGCAGTATTGCCCTTTTCTTTAAGATATGCATTCCCGTACTCCACGGGCCCAGAAGAACCACACTGAAGACACAGAAAGGCAGACTCTGGGAAGGCTCAAAAGGGCCTCATGGGCAGCTCCTGATGGGATTGTGCCGCAAAGAAGCACTGGAGCCAAGCCTGGCAGGGACAGTGAAAATCAGGATACACAGAAGGGTCGGTGAAGGAACTGTGGGGACGGTCACTTACAGGAAATGAACAGGAACGAGCTGACTTCACTCAGTTGGTAGGAGGGCCTCAGGGGTGGAGAATGTTGGCAGAGGACCCAGAAGGGGTTATCAATCTAGGAAGGGGCAGGACTGGCATAGGGAGTCAGGAGAAAATGGAAAGGCTGGAGACCTGGGAGGAACTACTGACTAATGAGGTTTCTTCTTGGAGCGGGTGGGGAAGGAAAGCACTGACTGGCAAATATGCTGTAAGCGGGGGCACATTACACCAAAAGCCTGTTAGACCCTGAGGCACAAATTCAGTGACACCGCAAGCTGCTGCAGAGGCAGAAGGGTGGACCACAGGGGGCAAAAGGTCACAGCTGCAAACATGATGGGTTCTAGGCGAGCAGGAGGAGAGCAGGGTTGGGGGACTGTGGGCAAGGAAGGGGCTGTGGGTCATTTGCAGCAGGGTCCCCAAACACAAGGAAGGCTGACAAAGCCCACACTGGGGACCATGCTGGGGGAGGCTCCGGTTCAGTACATATTTTTCAGTCGCCCTGAGATCCATTGTGATGAAACAGACCATAACTCTGTGAAATGCTGTAATGTTAACTTTGTTTAAGCATCAGTTTCAAGCCCTCTCAGAATACACAGGGCCAGTATTGATGCCGAAAGGCTCATTCTTTAGATATTGAACTGCACAGCTGCAAGGAGTTGCACAAATGTTACCAACTCATTTGTCATGCAAACAGTGCTTCAAAAAGAAATAAAATACTATTATGTGGTATATGTGTTAGGCAATCACTGTATCAAATTCATGTAATTCCGTGCAAACACAGGCAGAGAAAAGGAAAACAACACTTGGTGAGAGAATTGCACCACATGGGAACTGCTAAGTTGGGGGAAATGGAGAGGCTAACAATGGAAGCCTGACCAAGCCGAGGCTGTAATTTTCCCAGCAGTCATGGCCAGTGTTGGAACTCCTGTGGTACAGCCAGTGTCAGGAAAGCCACTGGCATAGGGGCCTTGCTCAGGGACCGAGGGAGGGGGTGGGGGGAACCCGTGGGGAGAGCTGAGTGATGCGATGGTAAGGGAGGATAAGTGAATTAAAGGCACATAAATGGAATACAACCTAATAGGCTAAGGCCTGCCATTACTGTTTGAGAAAGGGAGTTGATGAAAGATAAGGAAGGAATACAAAGAGGGAGACTAATGTGGAAGGAAGACTTTGAACCTTAGCTCTATTTCCATTTGCCACCACTCCCCATGTTCTCCTTAGGGGTTTCTCAGCTAAAGATCTTCACACAATCAAATGGAGTGCCCTTTGGGAGGTTCTATGCACTACTGCTGCACAGTTATGGGTTAAGTATAAATACTTTCAAGTTCTGTGCCAGGCACTGTTCTAAGCAGTATAAATTACCTCTTCTAATCCTCACAGCAACTCCACAATGTTTACTGGCCAATAGGCTAGAAATGTTAAGTGGATCGCACATCTAATAGTAGTGGAGTTGGGATTCCAAAGCCCCCAGCCTAAATCCACAAGTGACACAAGACTGTCTCTGGGGTCTTCTACCCATCTCTCCTGAAAACCCCACCATCCAGACACATGGCCTCCTCCCAGGAGCCTGAACTGCCCGCTGGAGCCAAGGGCATTTGGTTCTTTTGCCCCCTCCCCTGTGATGCCAGTCCCTCTCCCTTGAGATGTAAGGTTCTCCCAGCAGGGGGCCAGCGTCTAACCTAGGGCAGGGCCTGAACCCCATCAGTGCTTAGTTCAGAGAGTGAACACTGGAAAATAGACCTGCCAGCCACTGCCTGAAGTGGAACCAGGACTGGAGTATGCCTGGGGTCTACTCCACGAACCAAACAAAGCCATTCCCTGAGCGCACGTGGGATCACACATCGACCCGAACCACAGAGACAGGCCAAGGATCCAGTCTCCCCACACTTAGCAGTGGCTTCTTTCACTATCGGGCAATTCATCCATTGAATCAACACTTTACTGAGTGCCTACTGCTAGCCAGGGACCGCGCAAGGGGCGGGCGATCAGAGATAAACACTGATTGGTCTTACAGACGAGGCGAAGGGGTGAGCAAGGAAGAAAAGAAAGAAAACAAAAACTCAATACCAAACACCCTCTGACTCGTCCAACATGGCGGCCTTAACGGCCGAGTCCGACCTCCTCATCATGGCCGTCCTGTCGAGGAAGGCGCTGACCTTCTCGACATGGCGCGTGTAACCGACCTTCCCATCATGGCGCGGGGCCCCGCCCGTTCTGCCGCGGCGGCCGGCGGGAGCAGTTCCGGGTGCGGCGCGCGCCGAGGCGGGCGGGGGGCGGTGTCCTGGCCATGGCCGGCCTGTCGGACCTAGAGCTGCGGCGGGAGCTGCAGGCCCTGGGCTTCCAGCCAGGACCGATCACCGACACCACTCGGGACGTCTACCGCAACAAGCTGCGCCTCCTGCGGGACAAGGCCCGGCTGCGCGGCGAGGAGCGGCTGCGGGAGGAGGCGCCGCTGCGCTCCCGGCCGGCCGCGACTTCCCTGCGGGCTCAGCCCTGGCTCTCCCCGCCGGCCTCGGGCTCGGCCCACGGGACCCCTGGGGGCCTCGGCGATTTCGGAGCCTCCGCGGCGTCCTGGGCCGGAAGCCGCGGCCTCGCCTACCCTGCCCGCCCTACGCCGCTCCGGCGCCGCGCCTCGGTCCGCGGCAGCTCTGAGGAGGACGAGGACGCCCGGCCACTCGACAGGGCCGCGTCAGGCCCGGGTCACGCAGCCCGTCGCTGGTGGGCCGCGACCCCGGCTCCGGCGCGGCTGCCCTCCGCCCTAATCGGCCCCGACCCGCGCCTGGGCCTGCGGGCAACGCGAGCGGACCCAGCCGGCGCGGCGCGGGCCCGGCCCGAGGTGGGGAGGCGGCTGGAGCGCTGCCTGTCCCGGCTCCTGTTCTGGGCCAGCCTGGGGCTGCTGCTCGTCTTCCTGGGCATCCTCTGCGTGAAGATGGGCAAGCCCTCGGCGCCACAGGAGGCGGAGGACAACAGTATGTCCCGGGCCGGCGCAGGGGAGGGCCCTGGGCGCGCGTGTGTCCACCTGAACAGCCACCTGTGCCTCTCAGCTCCAGGCCGCACGTTCCCAGCCTTGTCAGTACCTCGGGCTGCCTTATCTCCACACCTTGACTTACCTTCCTCCGGCTCTGGGAGAAGAGGGCCGGAATTCCTGCAAATGCAATAATTTCTGTCTTCACTTTCACCTGTTCTCACTTTCTCTTCTAACCCTCCTACTAATCTTTCAACCTCGTGCTGGCAGTAACGTTCATTTGTAGTCACTTCTTCCCCAACTTCTGTTTTCCCTCCCTGGAGAAAGCCACACACCCCTCTGACAAACAGGTCCACCCCCATTCCATTTTGGTTCTTCCTTTTAATCTCTTGCTTATTCACACATTAGTGCCCATTTGAAGGACCCCTAGGTTTGTTTCACTGCCCACAGATGGCATCTGGTTGGGATCCCAGTTTTGTAGCACCAAAAAGGCCATATGGTCCACTTTGGGCCACAGGGCCCTCATTTGTCGAAAGGTTATAATAGCCCTGCTTATGAGAAAAGTGTGGAAAACACTTTGAGAGTTTTAACTGATACAAAAAGAGGCATTTATCGTTGCTTGCCGTGCCTTCCTGGGGTGTGTTAGGAGGGAGTCCTGTGAGTCAAGGACGTTTACAGCCCACTTCTGTCCACACTTGGTTACATGATTAGACATGCCAGTAAGAGGTCTGCAAGATACAGTAATTTCCAGAATGTTTGAGGATTTGTATGTTTTCTAAAAGAAATTTGCCTCTTGTGTAATTCTGGTCTCTAGTCTGACAGGAAACAACAGATAATTTCTTTATAAATTTAAGTATAAAGCGACACTGGTTCACCAACTTTTAATGTTCTTTGCAAAGCATAAATGTAATTAATATGGTTCCCAGCCTTGATCCAGGGCCACATCTTTCCACAACTAATAGCAATGGCTAAAATGCAAGGAAAAGCTGAATTTTGTCTTAGCTGTTGCAGCAGATGGATGTTTGGGTGTATGAACAAGTTTGTGGGCATGCAATCCCAGACTCATGCACACACCCAAATAATTTTCCTGGCTATGAGAGCAGTTTATCCACCTACTGGAGAAATTAAGCAGACCCGAGATGTCTGGTACTGTACTGGTACTAAACTATACTGGTGAAGTCAATCAAAAGGGGTGTCATACTCACCCCTTTAAGATGCAGCTCTCAGATATATACTGGGATTTACCTGGAGTTCCCCTCCCATGATGGTATTAACCCCTATTTAACATATTGCTTACAGTTTATAAAAGCTCTGTGTATGTTGTCTTATTTGAGGCTAACTCCCTAAGTAGGGAAGGCTTTATTAATCCCAGTTTACAGATAAGGCAACAGAGGTTCGGAGTGGCTAAGTGAGTTGCCCAAGATCCCATGACTAGTGATTTTCAGCACAGACTAGGATGCTGTCTTAATTCTTCATCCAGCACTGAGAAACCCTTACATTTTTACTGTCAGTATTTTAAAATACTGTCTTGTGCCTCATTTAGATGACATGTTCCTAATCCCCTCCCTTATTTATGTTTTGCTTCCCCTGAATTTTGAGTGGTCCTTTTTTGTATTCTTCCTCAACCCACACTTTTAATTTCCTATGTGTTTCTTTTCTTTGACTCAGTGAAATTATTGCCAGTGGACTGTGAGAGAAAAACTGATGAGGTGAGTTTGAGTTTCTCTAGCTTTTGTTATTCCTACCAAGGATGTTAGCCTCCATCAGGAGGTAAACTTCCCCAGAAAAAGATCATGATAGGGTCATTTTTCAGGAATGCTTCCTGTAATGTACCAGAATCACATCATGTTCTGTGATGTTTGTGTCAGACTCAATTGTGGCGCTGAAGGAGTACTTGAAACAGAATTGAGCTCCCAAGATCCAACTCTGGGCTTGTAACGGAAGCTCTCCCATCCATCACAGCACTGGGACTTTGATCTGCTTAAGTTAATCTAGGGGGCTTTAGTAGGTTGTGGTTGAAGGACCTGTCAAGCTCCCTTGCTTTGGAGGAAGGGCTGGCCCCTTTTAATTATCAGAAGGCCATGTTCTCAAGTGCATATTCTCTTCAGTAGTATGTTTGTGGCTCTGAAAATGCTGTTCTGATTTGAAACATCATGAGGCAGGAAGTGTTTTAATTCCATATGACATGGAATTAGCCCTCTTAGTCTACAGATTTGTTTTATGAAGCTTTAATGTTACCTACAAACAATATTTGGGGAAGGTGAGCAGCCCCATCCATTTATGAGTCGTGAAGGCAGTATTAGCGAGGAGTTGGGATGAGTACAGGAGTAGTCTGGGAAAGGTAGGAGGCAGTAAATTTTCAGGTCGTAAATCCTACCAGGAGGAAGCTTGTGCTGCCAGAGGGCACGACTTAGTAGTCTAATTATTAAGTGCAGTGCCAGGCTGCCCTGAGCCATCAATATCTCTGGCAGCCTGGGGGCTGAGAAAGAAGCAACCCATGACCCTTACGCTGCTGTGCTGACCCTTACTCACATTAACGAAGGGGCGTCCTGGTGCAGGAAACCTGTTTTATTTCTTTGGCTTCTGCTGTGTCATATTTGGGGACGTTTTATTACATTCACTTATTGCATTCATCCACCGAACAAGTTTGCTTCCCAATTGTTTTGTAAAAGTAGATTCATAGTAAATTTAATCTGCCTTCTGTCATAAAAAGTGCAGTTGATGAGTAGAGGAAGTGGTCCAGAAATTTCGGCAGTGGCCAGAGAGAAAACTAGCATTTTGAAGACTGAAAACAAAAATGAAAAAAACACTTTTCTGTAAGAGTTCTCTGATGATGTTAGTTTTGTTTGTGCTTTAATGAGAAAAGGGCTTCCTGGCTTCTGCTTCTTGGTCCTTCACCTCTCTAAACGTGTCAGACCCATAACTGAATGACAGATACGATTCCCAGCCCTCCTCTGAGCTGGATACACTCACATCCCACCTGGCGGACTAGCTACTGCTAGCACCAGAGCATCGAGAGGCAGGGCCCCGGGCTGTGTCATTGCAGGCCCGGTTGAGCTGAGGTTTCAAGGTGGGCCCTTGGCCTTCGTGGAGAGTGCAGCGGGAACAGACAGATCAGGAGGCAGTTCTTGGCTTTGGTGAGGCTCCTGCTGCAAGTATCATTCTCTGTGTAGCTCAGGCTCACCCAGAACCCTGACGGGCGTCTGAGTTTCACATACACGTGTTCTTTCACTGCTCAGCCAAGTATGACACTTTGCATTTTTCTTTCCGCCTTTGTGCTGCTGAAACGTGGGAACAGGACGAGAATGGGTGTTTTGTCTTAATCATGCCGTGTCGTCGTCTGGTACCTTCCGTTCTCCTGTTCTCCTTAGGTGGTGTCAGCCCCGCTTTGCCTAAATGTCAGTGAATTTGGAACACAGTTAATTGTTACTGCTTTTTGTCTGGTTGTGACTGTAATAGGTGTTTAGTATAGAAAAGGTAATAATGTGACAGAAAATCCCCTGGATTCTGCCACCAAGAGATAATCACCATTAATGTTTCCAGGACATCTTCCTTTCCATCTTACCTCTGTGTATCTGTGTTTATACAGTTGGAATCTGGATGTACATTCAGTTATATTTAACACTTATTATCAACATTTCCCATGTCATTAAATAGTCTTTAAAAAGTTGGGTACCTAACTCTAACTGTAGACATCTGAGTTGGTTCTGAATATTTACAGTTATATGTATAAATCTGGGTTACATCATTTTGTAGCTTGTAAAGACTTTGAGGTCTTTAGGCAACATGAGCGGACAAATGTTGGCATTTGGAGACTGTGAGAAACCAAGTCCCTCACATTACAGATGAGGGCAAAACACAAGTCTGAGAAGGAAAGCAACTTTAGTTCCTTCTGTAGTTGCAGGGCCAGCCCCAGAACCTAGGCCCTTGACTTCTGGTCCACCTACTGACAGCCCCGCAGAGGTCCTACGTGTGTGTGTTGGTGGGGGGGATGCACGGTAGGCTTGGAGTCGTCTGCCAGACTCAATCTGGCCCTGCCCCTTAGGAGCTTTGGATCCTGTGGCCAATCCAAGGACTCTAGACCTTGGGCTCCTCACCTGAGAAACTACAGTACAGTAATGATTGAGGTGAGGATTGGGTGTGCACTCACATCACAGTATCTGGCCTGACCACCACTCAGGGAAGAGCAGTCTTTTTTCAATGTTCTAAGTCCACTATGTCTAGCAAAATGGCATCAGTTTTGTTACCGGTGCTGGAGGTCTAGATACGCATATGTTCCCAGTCCTGTTTTCCTAGGCAGATGACCTTTTCCCCCTTCAGTTTCAAGGTTTCTAGAAATTTCCCACTTCTAGGGAAATCCAGTGCAAGATTAAGCATTTGCTGCAGATAATCCACAGGCAGATTGTAGATACTCAACTCCAAAACCAGACAGGAATGGCTGGAGAGGGGACAAGACCTCAGTGCAGCATTTGCTTCTTGCTTCCCTTGCAGGATGCTGGGCCACTGTGTTCCCCACAGCCCCACACAACAGCCTTGATTCCAATAGGAACCTGCGGCAGAGGCCAAGAGTCTCCAGGGTGGCAGACCCCTAGTTACTGTGCCTGCTTTCAGCCCTGCCCTGCTTTTCCAGTGTTCCTTTTCAGGCAGTTAACCCAACATTTATCAGCCCTGTCCCTGGGCCCACCACTTTGGAGAACTTGTTTTTATTCCTTAGAAGTATGAGGTGTTCTTTGCTGCTTAGTATTTGACAGTGTGGCTGAGGAGGTGACACCAGACAAAATCCCTTTCCTGCTTGCTGACCACCTGTCCTGTGCCCTTCCAGTTTTGTCAGGCCAAGCAGAAAGCAGCCTTGCTGGAGCTGCTGCATGAACTGTACAACTTCCTGGCCATCCAAGCTGGTGAGTAGGTATCGGGAGGCCTGAGCTTCCTCATGAGTGGGTTGTGGGCCACTACCCTGGTTAGTCAGGCCAAGGCTGGCAGCTGAGACACTCTTTGGCCATCTCCCAGATATACTCAGAAACTTGAGTCTCACCTTCCCCACTTCCCCACTCAGACACATCTTTTTTAACCCTTGCATTTGGGCAAGACACATTTTTTCTCAAATCCTCTTTAATGGTCCCAGGGATCCTGTGCATGCACAGGCCTTTCAGCAGATGCACCCCCTTCTCCGGATGCCCACCACTTGATGCTTTGGGGGGTCCGTTGCATGGCAAGGTACCAGGCCCCACCCAGGTCTTCTCAGAGTCTGGGTCCTTCATCTTGGAGGGCCTCCCTGTACCAGATGGTCAGCTAGCCAGACAGAGAGGCCTGTGCAGGTAGCAGGGGTGTGCAGGTGCCCCAAGCACACTCAGGCCCATCCAGCCTTTCAGGACCTGATGTCACTTCTGGTCCGGATTGCCCTGTGCAGCTGCGGGACCTTGGACAAGTCCCTGATCCTCTCAGGCCTCAGTCTTCTGTCTGACCAAGTGATCTGGGATCTCTTTTCTTTACAAAATGAAAATCAAGTGCTGTACTCAAGGAGAGAGCATTCGTAGCACCCCCATAAAATAACCCCCTGAAAACTCACCCATCTAGAAGGTTCCCTTATTATTTTATTTGGTAAATGTAAAGGATACAAGAGATGTCACCTGCATTATTGTCCTCCCACACCTGGTGTCTAGAAAGCCTTCAAAATCACTTGCTGGTGACATAGGCAAGTATCCAGGGCTTATGCCCCATGTTAAATATACTTAGCATGAGAACCAGACAGTATTGTCTTACAAGATGTTCAAGAGGCACCTCTTACCTGCTGGGCCAACCCTTCCCTAAGAGTGTCACTGGGAAGAAAAGGTTGAGTGGACTTGTACTGGGCCCTCAGTCTTCAGGGCCAATCTTGTGAGCCTCAACTCTGCCACCTCCTCCCTCCTGGCTGGTGGGAGACTGGAGGCAGGCAGGGAGGCATCTGAGAGCTCCTCAGAGAAGCAGGAGGAGTTGGGGCTCACAGCATCACAGTCGTTGTGGGCATTTCTCTGTGGCCCAGGTGCTTGGAATATAAATTGGCCTAAAAGGGTGTTCCAAACCTTAGGGACTCAATTGTGGCCCAAGGATTGGCAGCATCGCATTGACCTGGAGCTGTTGGAATTGCAGAGTCTCAGGTACCATCCCAAACCTACTGAATCAAAGCCTGTGTTTTAGTAAGATTCCCAGGGGATAAAGTTGAGAAACTCTGCTCCTAAACTGACTCATAGTAGACAGTTCTTCACCCTGTCCTCTATATGTGGTCCTGGCTTATGCCATCCAGGGGCCTGGTGCCTGCTGTCTGACAAGCCTAGCAGGGGCAGCCCTTAGGATATGGTTCTCACTGAGACAGGACACAGGGGAGTAAGGGCCCTCTACGAGACCACATTTTCTTCCCCTGCCCTCTGTTGGAGACCAGCTATGGGCAGGGGGCTATGCTGGCCTTTGCAGGATATATGATGACTCACCCCAGGCTCCTGCCCACATGCTGCTTGTGGTCTAGCAGAAGAGATGGGCCACCTACCTCCCTGACCACTGGGTGATATAAGATGTGATTGGATGAGAACCAAGAGGCCAGAGGTTCCAGGAGGCAGGTTGCCTTTTAACTGGAGCAGTCAAGAAAGTGTCCCAGGAAAGGTGGTATTTGTGCCAGGCCCTGAAGCCCAGGTAGGATTGGTTATATATATTGGGGGGAGGTGGGGTCAAAGAGGCAGGAAATTACAGGGTCAGGGATGGAAGCCGTTGGCTTCATGGGAGAAGGAGAGGCAGAGGAGTGGAGTTTGGAAAGGTCTGCTGGGCCCCACCATAGACAGCCATGGATGCCAGGCCACCTGGGCTTTATCCTGCAGGCAGTAAGAGCTAGGGAGGCTTTTCAGCAGGGGAGTAATGTGCAGAGAGCCAGGAACCAGGACGGCAAATATGTCAGCAGCTTGAGTGCAATAGTGTCACTGAAGCAGAATCATCTTAAAGCTTTGTTGAACAAACATGGATGAGAAAGGGGGTTGGAAGAAACAAATCAGGAGTTCGTGATGGTCCGAGCAGGCCTAAGCCAGGCAGACAGTCTGGGTGGGGACAGGAGATGGGAGAAGCCAGCTTGGTCTTGGGGGACACAGCAGGGTCAAGATCAGCTTTGACATAGGATGATGGTCTTCAGTTTATCGTCTAGAGTATTACCCAGCCACTCCCTCCCCACCACATAGACACACAGGGACTGGCCTTCTAAAGCCCCCCAGCTGTGCCACATCCAGGGCAATCAGGCTCTGTGCAAGGTTAAGGATGTGCATGCCTACCCTATGCTGTTCCTGCTCTCGGGGGTCCTTGGGAAGCAGCATGTGGTAGGTGGACCACAGCAGGCAATCAAGAGCCAAGGGCTATGGCAGGTCTCTCCAAGTCCAGAGTGATTTGGCCAAATGATTCTCCCATGAGCTGGGGAGTTTTTTCACAGTAGGTAGCCTTGGGCTGGTCCTGGAAAGCTAGACAGGACTAAGGGAGGGCACTAGCTACATCCTAGGTGGGAGCTGGCATCCACGGTGCTCAAAAGGAAGCTGTCCTGGAGCCTTGCCAAGGCCCCAGTGCCCAGCACACAGATGCCTTCTTTGTTTTGTCATTTAGGACATCCACCCAGCACCCCCCCAAACAGTGGGCCTGGCTTTCCCGGTCACCTGCCTGTGTCATGGTCAAAATCTCTGCAGTGCCTATGGCCTCCCTGCCTTTCTTTGTTCTCAAGCTTTGTTTATTTATAGTGCCATTCTGGTACCTTCCAAAGCTAGCTGTCTGATCCTTTTAGGGATCAATTGCAGACAGACCTTGGTATCAGGCAGCTTTTTAGTCATTTAATGCAAATCGCTGCACTGCTTTGCAGGTCAGGTTTTAATGATCTGGAATCGATCCAAGCTAAGTGGCTTTTGATCTTGCTATAGAGCGAAGACGCCCCACAGAAACCAGAGCCACCGGCCACATTCTCCCAATCAGAGCTGATGGCTTGATTCTTGCTGCATTTTTTAGTGTGTTTCAGAATAACTTTTTTCACCTCTACTTCGTGTTTGAATGTGTGTTTCTTCCTCTTAGGTAATTTTGAATGTGGAAACCCAGAGAAGCTAAAAAGCAAGTGCATTCCTGTGATGGAAGCCCAGGAACACATAGCAGTAAGTAGGCTGCAGTGCTGACCGTTCCCAGGTGCTGCTGGGGCTTTTGTATTCATCGTTCAAGCCCGGAACTGTTTTTTTCCCTTTGCATTTTGTGTTGACTTTTTGGTTTTTTTTGTTTTCCCTTTATTTTTTTAACTTTGTTGAATGTTAGGCTCCCTTAAGTTAAGGCAGCAGTAGGGGTGACTGGACCCAGACTGAGCTCTGAGCCAGAGCCCAGCCTGCTGTGGGCATGCAGACCATTCACCGCTGGCCAGCTACCCCTTCCTTCCGTGGCCCTGTTTCTTGTTCTTCCTTTGGTTTGCTTTTCCCCTCTTCTCAGCAGCTTTAAGGTTATGCTTTTGACCTGTCCATTCTCTCCCTTGATTACCATGCAGATTCTTCAGGGTTCATTTGATTTTCCATGTGGTCTCAGGCTGATAGAATTATGGATCTTTGGAGCTGGCAGAAACTTCTGGGGTCACCTAGTTCAAATGTCATTTCACAAATAAGGAAACTGAGAGCCAGAGAGGGGAAGGGACATGCTCAAGGCCACACAGCTGGGATGCCCTGGGCCCACACTTCTTTTAGTTTTATCCAAGATGAGCAGCCAAGCTCTCTGGCCTAATGCTTTGGTCATTAAGAAAATGTTTTTTCTTTTGGTTGCCTCAGACCTGCATTATTTCCCTGTGTGTGCTTCCACATCACCCTTTCTGGTTATAGCTGCTTCCTCAGCCCTTGTCTGCCCCTGATTTCCTGCCTGCCACTTTGCTGTGCATTTAACAGAACAAGGGCTCTGGGGCATGGGGAGGACACAGGAGATGGCTTCCTTAATCCAGCAGAATAGTGTTCCAGCTGCTCCTCCCTGACACAGAGCTAATCTTCCCCTGCCCCCCACCCACAGAATGTGACTGGGAGCTCCTCTGCCAGGTTTGAAGCTGCACTGACCTGGATACTGAGCAGCAACAAGGACGTGGGCATCTGGTGAGTGTGGGCAGGCGTCATGAGCTGGTGGCACAGCCCTGGGTGCCTGTGGCCGCTGTCTCTATCCATCAGCTGACGCCTGGGCTCCAACAGAGGCATCTCCATCTGAAGTTAGAGGATGGATCTTCCAGCTAAGTTGTGGTGAGCTAGGCTTGAAGCTGGATAGCAGAAAGAAGATGCATTAGGAATGTAGTGTAAGGAGCAGTTGCAGAATGAAACTCAAAATCCAGGTGTCAAGATGTTAGCCTGGTGTCTTGCTAAACCTGTTTCAGACAACTCATGACCTTTTAATTCACCACCCCACGTAGTTTGCTGGAAAAGACATTTTTCTCAGGTGCTAGTTTTGTTCATTCATAGATAGAATAGTTCTGTATTTTGACTTCACTCAGTATGGAAATTGCAAAAGGAAATACTGAATTTTATTCTGACTGGGCAGTTACACCTCATTCTGGTAGCAGAGATAGCTGAGATTGCAAAGAGAGTGGGCCCTTTCAACTGCCTGAAAGGCCCCATCTGGCTGCTCATCCCAGGGTGGAGGGCACACCAGCCAGTGGCCGGCCATTTGCGAGTCCCTGCTAGAAAAGCATTTGCTTCATCACCCCCTCCCATTTCTCTGGGTTTATCAGGGTGTCTGTTCAGGTTACAGCTCCTGAAATGAAAACACACTGTAGAGTTTTGTTCTCCTCCTCCTCTTTAATCCAGTCAAATTACTAGTTCTATCAACAGTGTATCCAGCAGAAGCCCTTGAGGAACTTCAACCTAAAGCTTGATAACTGGATGCATGGCACAATTAAAACTCATTGGCTTAAAAAAAAATAAAGCTTCCCCGAGTGGCTGAGCAATCTTTCTGTTAAAAAAGGTGGAGGAAAGTACAGATTTTATCCTCTGTCATGCTTACTGAAGCTGCCAGCATAGAATGATGGTGATCACCTTTTCATGTTGCAGAAGGCACCTGGGGGTGGCTGAACCCAACTCGGGCAACCAGTGCTAAAAGCGGGTTGTGAGAAATCAGGGCACTTCAGCTACTAGCCAGTCCAGTGTGCAGTCCCGAGCATGAGATTGTCCTCTAGGTGGAAGAAGGTGCTGGTGTTGGCATCCCCCTGTGCCCTCTTGGGGTAGCCGGGACAGAGGCGTTGGGGCTGAGGCCTGACCTCAGCCTGGAAGTTTTCATTCTGTTGAGCTACGAGGCACCCTGTGATCTTTATACTTAAACAGCTATGTGCCTTCTCATTACCAAGGAGAAGTACACCCTCCCAGACTCTGTCTTTCAGTTCTTGCCATGCAGTGCAAAGCCAGTGATTCAGTAAACATTTCCATTTCTCTATGCTGGGAGGTGGGAATCCAATTTACAGTTTAATCTTCCGCATGCTGAGATGGGCTGTCAAAGACCCAACAGAGGGGGATGTCACTTTAGCGGTAGGGGTTTAAGCCTGCTGCCATCTTTAAAGCTTTATTCTTTCTAAGTAGCCATCATGGGAAATTTCTGGAAAGCGTGCAACCAGGATACCGAGTCTATTTTATAAGCAAGTAAAAGCCACAAAGCCCCTCCTTCCTCCTTCTGCTGAAAGTGGGGCTTCTACCAAGGATCCTCTGAGCCTCTTCTGAGTTTACAACCCTGTGTCCTGTTTCAGGTTGAAAGGGGAGGACCTGTCGGAATTGGTGACAACTGTGGACAAGGTGGTCTGCCTGGAATCCGCCCGCCCCCGCATGGGTGTTGGGTGCCGCCTGAGCCGTGCCCTGCTCACTGCTGTCACCAATGTGCTCATCTTCTTCTGGTGTAAGTCCTTGGCCACCCTTCTCACCCTTGTCTCTTGCCGTCGGGACTACCTGCCCCTCCTGGGAGCCAGCTCAGCAGCTTCCCTAGGCCTAAATTACGGAAACCCAGGCCCAAAGGGTGTGTTTCTGTGTAGTGCACCTGAGGTCTGTCTGATAAACAGAGATGAACGAGTCAGCCTCTGCCCTGTGCTGCCTTTACCTTTGGAGGCTGGTGGTGGGAACATGAGGATAACTAGAAAATATCCTTGATTCAAGACTGGGAACTGTCAGCATTCCTGAGAGGGAGCCTGGCTGGGGCCAGGCTTCACCCGTCCTGGGGGCCCAGAGTGCAGGCCACTCTGAGGAGGCCATGCAGCTGGAGCTTGGCCTAATTCCACTCCCTGAACAATGTAAACACCTGGGAAGCTCCAAATACCTGATGAAAGCAGGAAGAACCCAGGGCACCAAGCTGAAAAGGAGAGCAAAAGCTTTTTCTCCCAACATCAGCAGCTGCCTTTGAACAGAGATCTCAGGATGTATCTGACGGCAAAAGGCCGAGTCATACAAACTGCCGGCTCTGCAGAGATAGCCGAGTTACAAATCACAGGCCATCTGGGCGAGCACACAACTCCCTCACCTACACCATCAGGCACAGACATCATTAGCAGCAGCAGCATCTCGGAATACAAAGGGCCCCGGCATGTATATATGTATGAAATGCCGTGTTCTGGTCCCCAAGGGAGGAGATGAAAGCCCCAGAATGAGGTTGGGAGGTGCTGAGATCTGGATGGCTGGGGATGCCTCTGTGGTGACAGCCTGCAGGAGGAAGATGATCATTTAATAGCCTGTCCTCCTGCTGCTTTTCTGTGTCCTTCGTTTCCTACTTACTGGCCCTGGGCCTCACACACAGTAGGTACTCCAGAACATATCTGCAGCTCACCACAGCCTCCAGCACAGCAGCCTGCTGTATGGAGTCCCAGCATGTGTTAGAATGCTTGAAGCTGCATGCGGGATTAACAGTGCTTTGTTCCCTCCCAGGCTTGGCCTTTTTGTGGGGACTCCTTATCCTCCTGAAATACCGGTGGCGGAGGTTGGAAGAAGAGGAACAGGCCATGTACGAGATGGTGAAGAAGATTATAGGTGTGTGGCCCCTGGTGAGAAGGCTACTGGCACCTTCCAGAAGGTCCTCGCCCTAAACAGTACCCTTTGTCTCACAGATGTGGTCCAGGACCACTACGTGGATTGGGAGCAGGACATGGAGCGCTACCCATATGTGGGCATCCTGCATGTGCGTGACACCCTGATCCCCCCCCAGAGCCGGTGAGTCCTGGGTCTGACCCTGCTGAGTGCCACGGCAGAAGGTACAGAGCCTCCATCAGTCATGCAGCAGAGGGAGGCAAGCAGTGTATCCTCCAGGGTCATGGGCCTGGGGGCATGCACATCCATGCATCCTGCCAGTCCTCCAGCACTCAGCCTTTCAGGGCCCTCATGGCCCAGTGCCGTGCAGCCACAAGGTGCAGAGGCATGGTCCCCTCCTCTGCAGAGGCAGCAGCGCTGTTAGTGCTGAGTGCTCGTACTGATTGGGTGCCTTGGGTGGCAAATACCAGAGCCGTCTCTCCCCCAGCGGCTCAAAGCAGGGAAGGACCTGATGAGTTTCCTTGAGTGGAAATCCTGAGTTCCAGGTGGGTTACAGGCACAGAACACTCAGGTCTCTGATTCCATTTCTCTGATTATTGTGCTTCTGCCCTCCATGGATGTTGTCAGCTGGTTGGAGTTCCTTGTGGTTGCAGCAGGTGGCCAGTGGCAGCTGCAGCATCTGCCTTGTCACAGCCAGCAGGAGCGATCTGGGCTCCTATTGCTCTCATAAGTAAGAGAAAACATTCCCAGAAGCTACCAGTGACACACTCCTTGAGGTTCTGCTGGCTAGAATTGGTTACTTATCTATTCTTGAATCAGTCAAGGAGGAAATTGTTTTTCAAACTATTTTAACCATGACCCACTGTCAGAAACATGGTTTGGTTCCCACACACACATGTGCATACATGCAGCTGAAAGCAGTTTCACGGCAGTGAGTGGGGTCAGCATCCAAGGCTGCATGGAAAGGGGTGGCAGGCCTCTGTCATGCATGACTCCAGGGGCACCTTCCTCCTGGGCTGCAGATGCTGGATGGATCCCTGACAAAACCAGAGGTGAGCTGGGATTAGGGTACAGGCCCCAGGAGACAGCCAGCAGGGCCTACCCTAGTGTTGGCTTAGCTGTGGGCCCTGGCCAGGTGCCACCATCTCTGGAGTGATGCTCAGCATTCACACTTGCTGGATGCTCACTACAAGCCGGGCACTGCTCTGAGCCTCCCACAGGAACACACTGACTCTTGATCCTCACCGTGGCCCTGAGAGGCAGGAACAATGGTTACCCATTTTACAAATGAGGAAACTAAGGCACAGAGAGGGTAAGGAACTCGCTCAGAGGTCCACAGGTGGTGGCATTTCTGTGCTCCCATTTCCAGGCTCCATGCGTAGGGTCGTCCCTTTCTCTGCAACCCAAGAGAAATTGGAAGAGTATGAGATTCAAGAGCCCCTTTTAAATTGAAAGTGCTTAATAACTCTCATGCCCACCCCACTCCCTGGGAAGGTGCGGGCAGGATGCTTAGAGCAGACTGCCTGGGGTGTGGGACATGTGCTTTCCATTGGTTGCCAGCATGAGGCAGCCACATGGCCCTCCAGCTCCTCCGAGGGAGGCCACTTAGTGTATTCAGTTTCCCACCTAATTCCTAGCCTGCTAGGAGTCATCATGTGACCATGGGCTAGTTTCCTCATCCAAAAAACAGGTAATACCACTGCCTTGCAGAGGGCTTTGGTGAAGGGAAGCTGTCATTCTTTCACTTAAACGTTTAGTGAGCACCTACTACCTGCGACACTGTACTGATCATGGGGAGGCAGTGAAGAGCAGAAGTAGCCCAAACCCCTGCCCTGCTGGAGCACTGGTTCCAGGGAGGAAGACAGGTAACAAGAAGCATAAGGAAAATGTGCACCATTAGGCAGTGACAGGCCCTAAGGTAGTGGGGAGCAGGGGTGTCGGGGAGATGGCCTCACAGCTCACTAAGTCAGTGAGCACCCCACACCTGAGCTCTCATCAGAGGGCAGCCATATTGCTTAGGGTTAAATTACATGCCACACACATACTCAGTAAAGCCAGGAGTGGCATTGCAGCTTGTCTCAGGCCTGAGCCACCACACCTCAGCTCCTGTGCCTCAGGAGAGACCACAGACAAGCGGCCACTCCACAGGTCTGACCCCCGTATCGTGAACCCCAGGAGGCACACACCCTGTTCACTCTCAGTCTTGTGACTCATCTCCCACACCACCCAATCAGTGTGGGCAAGCTTGCAAATCATACTGTTGAATTAGCTCCTGCCAGCCTGACGTGGGGACACTCGGATCTGTCTTACAGATGAGGGCCTGCTTGTGAGGGACTGAGGGAGATCTGAAGAGCATGTTTGGTGAGGAAAGCGGCCGCTGATAGCAGCAGGCTCAGGCAGGCTTGTTCAGTACCTGGTAATGGGCAGCCCGGGAAGGAGGGTGCGGGGAGACACTGGCCCCATACTACTCTGGCTGTCCCCCCCTGGGCATCCAGCAAGGGGAGCACAGTCCCCAGGGTAGGTGTAGTCTTGCCAGACCAGTCCTGTGGGGGCTGTGGGGTCATGTGACAGGGCCTCAACAGCCCCACTCTGCCTCCTGACTCATGCGCCACCTCAGGAGCTTCCCTCCACTTGTCCTCCCTCGAGTTGCACCTTCCTGCTCCCACATGTGCGTACTCACTGGCACTCTCTCCAGGCGTGGGGTCCTGGGGAGACCGTCTGCATTGCTGACAAAAGCGGAGCTCATCAAGCAAAGACATCAAAGCAGCCCGCCCTGACTTCCTATCTAGTCTGGAGGGGAAAAGAGGAAAAGGGGCTGTCCAAGGGGATGCAAGGCTCTGGGGACCCAGCAGTGCAGGGACTCTGGCCTGAGGCCCAAGGCCAGCCCGTGGGGCAGGGGCCCTACCCAGTAGCTCTAGTCCCAAGGGCAGTTCCAGCCTCTTGGCCTCCTCAGTTGGATGCTTAACTCATCCCCACTCCCCAAAGTCTGGAGTTTGGGCTCAGTAGCCCATGGCCACTCTTTACATGGGCGTTATAAATGCAGTCAGCTCTGGTGGTGGGGCTGCCTGGCTAGGGCTCCTGCAGTAGCAGGTCCCAGCAAGGGTTGGCCAAGCCCAGCACAGCCCCATCCCACTTGGACACCTTGGGGTGCTCCAGATACCTCTGGCCCCTTCAGCTCCCTTCAATTGAATGCTTTTGGAGGAGAGAAGGTTGAGGAATCATTTCCCAGTGGCTCAAGAAATTTCTCTCTGCAGGAGTCCTGTTAGTACTTGACGGCTTTTTCTCCCACAGATAAATCCTGTGTGAGATCTTAGAGCTCTGTCCCCATTTGTACAGAGGGCAGCCACAGGCCAGCTTGCCTGCTAAGCCTGGCCCCTCTTGTTGCAGGAGGCGCATGAAGCGGGTCTGGGACCGAGCTGTAGAGTTCTTGGCCTCCAGTGAATCCCGGATCCAGACCGAGTCCCACCGCGTGGCTGGAGAAGATATGCTGGTGTGGAGATGGACTAAGCCCTCTTCCTTCTCTGACTCGGAGCGATAAACTCCAGACAGGGCCTGTTCCCAGCCAGTCTGTCCTGGGCCAGTCCCCGTGAGGGGCATGAGAGGGCCACCAGACCCACCAGTGCTGAATTCACACTTGCCTTGACTTTCACCCTCCTCGATGCTGGTTCCAAAGTTCTCTCTGTACAACTCTTCACAGATGAGCTCAGTAGGAAAGTATGGGCTTCTTTGAAGGGCAGAGGGGAGAAGCCAGAGGCCAGGTGGGTAGCTTGTTCTCTGCATTGGTCTGAATCCTGTGCCTCGTTTTGCTGGCAGAAGAGGGGAGAAGGGTTTGTTTTTCACGAATAGAAGAGCAACAGCTCTGAAACCCTGCAGAACAAGTGTGCACGTCAGGTGGGCTGGAGCTTGTTCACCATTGGTGAGCACTCCGCAATGAGGTGGGCCTCGTGCCTGTGGGAGGTGGGTCGGGACAGTGAATGGGGCAGCAGGGGTTGGGGTACAGTTTGTTCCATGTGCCTTTGTGGGGTGTTACGTGGAAGCTCAAGGGTGAGGGGAGAAAGCCTGTCCTTCAGTTGGATCGGGCCTCTTATCCTAAAGGGGGAGGGTGCTAGGAATTAGGACAAGTACTATAGGAGAACTATCTAGAAATGCCAGGCCCCGGCACATGGAGCCCTCAGGTCAGGAGGAGTGAGCCGCTAGTGTGGCCTCCTGAGGAACGTGGAGTAGGCACTGGGCCCAGAGAGCAGAGGAGGCCGGGGTTGCCATCAGCCACCATGTCTGCAGCCCACCTGGGGGCAGCCTCCCAGGGGGGCCTATTCAGTTTTGCTCCTTCCAGAAGTTGGAGTTGTAGACCAGACCTGTATCCGCAGCACGCTGAGAACGTCGATTCCATGGCCGTGTGGTCACCTGTCCTACTGCGACCACAGCCCCCGACGCCGGGGCTGTTTCACGGAACTTCTTGCGCAGCATCGCCACCTGTGCGCGGCGAGGCGCTGTGGCCTCGCCGCTGCCCCCTGCTGGCCGCCCGAGAGCATGCTTGCGGCGCCTCAGTCCCTCTTGGTCCCCGCCAGCCCAGGAGCCTGCGTCGCGTGATGCGTCTCCAAAAACCTGGACGGGGGCCCCAGTAAAGTGCAAGGAGCCTCAACAACGGAGTCTCATCCGCGTGTTGTCCTCTGCGGCGCACAGGAGAGGGGGCAAGGGCCCGGCCTGCCACTGAAAATCACTAGGAACCTCTTTCTGGTATTACTGGTACTTTCTGTTTCCTTAATAAACCTCCAGTCGCCCTCATTTGAGCAATATTCCCATTTCCTCTGATGTATGGATGATCACTGGGGCTGGAATCCGAGCTCTAGCCCCATGGCAAAGAAATGCCATAATCAGGCCCCAGCCAGAATAAGAAACACTGCAATGGCTTCACTATCAGGTTTGAGACTGTTGGATAAATAAACTATTAAAAGTGGATGTGTTCCTCATCCGTGGTTTTTCCCTGTCCCCCAAAGCAATGTATAAGGAATGGCGACTTGTGTAGTTACTAAGCCCTGGCCTTGGGGAGGTCAGCTGGAAGAGAAGGGGTGTTCTCTGGGCCCTGGACTTCCTACTTGGCCTCGGACTCTCTGTGACAGTCCTTGGGAAACTCTTAGAGCCTTCATTATATTACACAGAGTAATGACCCCACCCTGCAGGGTGAACTCAGGATAGCCACCCAGTCCCAGGGAGTGGGTGGCAAGGAGTGGAGTTTGATAGAACCTCTTGGCCCCATTTCTGCCTCCCTCAAGGCTTCAGAGGCTCTCCAGGGGTGCCCTGGGAGGGGAGAAGGAAGCACAGAGGTGGGGTGGAGCTCCTTGGCACCTGGTGACGTCCTCTGAGGAGCAGGAGGCTGCTGCTGGCAGCAGACTTGCCTCCTCCAGGGCCACACCACTGGGGAGAGCACTGAGTGCTGCCTGGGGGACTCCTGCCAGCAGGAATGGGCCCCCCACAAGGCAGGCAGGCCTTCCCAGGGCAGGGTTTGTGGGTGTGTTTCAAGGGCCCTCCTGCTCCCCTTCAGCACTGCCTCTAGCAGGCTTGTGCTGTAAGCTGCAGGCACTGGGCTTGGCATCAAGATCCACCCTTCCTTTCTCAGCCCAGGAGGAAGGCAGCCTCCGAGGTGCCAGCCGCTCCACCATCCTGCCGCCCCCATCCACACCCGTCCCACTGGCACCATCCTGCTATCCTCCCATCAGCTAGAAACGTGGTGGGTAAATTGATGAAGGACCCAAAAACAACCCGGAAAAAATGAGCATATCCTCCCCTTTTTTGTTTTTTCAGTGAAAGATTTTCCCTCTGCTGTGTTTTGTCTTAGCTGAGAAGGGAGCTAATGCAGGGCTCTATTTCTGTGAATATTGGGAGAGCAGAGCAGATCAAAATAAATGAAATAACAAAAGGCCCCCGCCAGGCCGGCCCCTTCCTTTATGGCACACTGCTGGGCTGGCACAAAGGCCCCGAGGTGCGTCCTCAGCCACAGACCTCAGAGCCAGCTCTGCAGCCGAGATTCCCCCGGTTGGAGGGCCCAGCCTCCCTTTTAAGCAGCTCTTACTTCACCAGGGAGAACTCGGGGTGGTGGTTCTGCCTGAGGAGGGGGTCTGAGGGTATCCTGGGTGAGAGCCTCGTTGAGAGGTTCCCATCACTCCACCCAATCCCTTCCAGGGCTCCCCAGGCCACATACCTGGCTTTCCTCAGCGACAAACGGCCCTCTAGGGCTCTGCGGGCACCAATGAAGAGACTTGTGGGGAGAGGGAGGGAGAGGCTGTTCCCCACAAATCTCAGCTGCAGACGTCCACCCAGGAGCTCCAGGCCACCTTCCAGAGCCTCTGCTCAGGGGAAAAAGGTAAACACAGCCATTTGTCATTGACTTATCATGAGAACTGCAGTAGCAGCTGTTCCCCCTTAATTAATACACCATTGACTTTGAGCTTCCAAAAAAAAAAAAAAAAATCCCTTCATTGAGACAGGTGTGTCTACTTAAATCCATTATCCCGTCGGCCTCCCCCAGAGGGAAGGGGCAAGGGGGCGATTACACAGAAGGCCCAAATGTTCCAGAACAGCCCTCCCCTGGACATCCAGGCCAACTTCAACACTCTGTCCCCAGAGGAAGCTGCAAAGCCAGGGAGAGAGTCCGGACGGAGGATCCCATGACATCCAGGGACAGGAGAGGCAGAGGGGATCTGGGGTCACCATGCCTGGGGCTGCTGTGTTTGCCGGGGACTCAGCATCCTCAGGACCTGCTCTGCCCTTTACTGACTGGAACCATGGGCCAGTCACTTTATCCCAGTAGCAGGGGAAGTTATTAAGAAACAAATGACGAAATAGCCAACCCCTGACAGCATTATGACACACCCACAGTGCACTGCGGCCCTCTGAGTCCTCACAGTGCCCCCACACAGTAGGTGCTGTTGTTACCCCTTCTCGTAGCAGGAGAAACTTAGGCACCAGGGGGTCAGGTCAGTAGTGGAGCCAGGGTCTGAACCCAGACAGCCTGGCTGCAGAGCCTGGTTTCTCAGCCCGGCTCTTTTGCCTTCTCCAAAGGGAAAGCTGCTCAGCATCTGTTGTGCGCCTTCAGTCAGCGGAGACAGAATAAAACCACCTTGCTCCAGAGGAAGAGCCCAGGCCTCGCAGAGGCTCTGGGGGCTCCTCCTACCTGCTCTCCTGCTCTCCCCGCACTGTTTGGCCACACACCTTGCTGCCCTTGCCTCACCAGGCCCAGTCCTGCCTCGGGGCCTCTGTACTTGCCGTTCCACCTACTCTGCTGTTCCCCACATGGTTCACTCCCTCCTCTCCAGCCCTGTTTGGACCTGTAGCGACAGCCTACCCCACATGCTCTCAGGGACCCAACCTTCCTTTATTTCTCTCCTAACACCAGATGTGCTACGTGTTTTACTTACTCATGCACCTCCCTGCTTTGGTTTACCACCCTGTTATCTGTCTCCCGGAGGGGTCCTGTCCCCTCCCGAGGGAAACACTGGCCTCAGGGGTAATCAGGCTGGACTGTCTGAGGCAGGTCAGGGATCTCAGTCAGAGAAGCAGAAAGGAAATCAGCTTTCCTGGACAGGAGTGGGTATGTTTGCTGGGTTCCCCATGTGGGACACCTGACAGAATGCTGAGGACCTGCCAGCCCACACCATCATGTGACAGGAACGGTGGTGAAGATGGTCTAGGAGTGAGGCCCCTCCCCTCTGCCAGGCACCAAAGCAGACAAACCCTAGATTTGCTTAAGACACTGGTCACTGGCTGGGGAGGACTTCCATTCAAAATGCAACTTCTCTTAGCCCCAGTGAGGGAGGGCTTGGTGCAGATTTCCTGTGACTTCTAAAGAAAGTGATGGGATGTCTTGCCAAGAGTGTGGGCCAGTCCGTAACTGAGGCCACCGTGAAGTCAGGGCTATCCTCTCACCTTGGCAGGGGTGCAGTGAGACCCCAGGCAAACCATGGAGGGACTGCACACCGCGGGAGTCGGGACTGGGCTGCCCTGGGCCGTGCAGGTGAGTGAGGACAGTCTGGGGCAGGGGCTCAGCAGCAGGAAAGGACCTGAACGAGCTCTGAGAAAAAAGGGCAGAAGAGGTATCATTGGTGATTACAGCCCAATTTGTAAGCTGCTTCTGTTTAGTACGGAGACAGGGGAAAGTACAGTAATTTTCTTCAATGAAAACAGGCAACAGAATTCCCTTTAACTCATTCCCCTTGCAATTAAACCCTTCGCTGCAAATGAAATGATTTGGTTTTCATGGGGACTAATTTAAGCACACTGGAAGGGCAGCTGAACTTTTTGATTGCAAACACCAGCATGTGCAAAACAGAATCCCAAGCAGCAATGCCAGGCTGATGAGTCAGGGTCTAGAACAAGCTGGGGCTCAGATGGAGTCAGGTGGGACAAGCCCTGTGTTGGGAGTCAAGCTCTTCCCCTAAATCTGTGATCTTCTCTGTGTGGCTGACCCTCTTCCCCTCTCCAGCCTCCACCCCACTTCCCAAGTGAGGAAGCTGGACCAGACCCCAGGTGACAAATTCAGAAGCCTCTGACATTTGGTGACAGCAAAGCATTAAAGTTGCCAAGTATTCTCTGCCATTCCATTCATCAAGAGATGGAGTCTGCTTCTCCCTTGAAGCTGGACTGGCCCTGTGACTGCTTTGACCAGTGGAATGTGGCCAGAGAGACACGGGCCAGGTGCAGCCCGAAGCCTTAGAGGCCTTGTCACTTCTGCTTTCACCCTCCTGGGCCTGGAGCCACCATGTAAAGAGGCCCAGCTGCCCTGTCAGAGAGACTTGTGGGGAGACAGATGCCCCTCAGCCCTCAGCTGTGCCAGTGTCCCAGCTGGCACACACACCAAACATGTGAGTGAAGCCACTTGTACCAGGTCTGTGTGAACAGAGATAAGCTGACCCTACTCAGCCCTGCCCAAATGGCAGAATCATGAGTAACACATGTTAGTCCATATTATTATTACAACTTTTTAAATTTGAGATAGTTTGACTCAAAAGATGCAAAAATAGTACAGAGATTCCTCATGTACCCTTCACCCAGCTACTCCAGAGATAATATCCCCCATAGCCATGATGTACTGTCCAAGCCAGGAAACTGACCTGCCACAATACTACTAACTCACACACAGACCGTAGGTTTTCCAGTTTTACATGTGCTACATGTGTGTGTAGCTTACGACACTTTATCACAGGAAACCACCAAGTTTCAGAGTGGTCCATCACTCATAACAGGTAACTGATACGACTCCCCAGGAGTGTGTATTATTCGGCATTCTTCAGTTCAAAGTGTGACAGAAACACACCCAGACAAACTTGAGCACTAGGTGAACACACTGGCTCCCATAAACCAATGCGCCTAGAGGCAGGGGTGCTCAGCCTCAGAGCAGCTCCACCCCAGGCAGGGGTGCAGCCCACAAGCTCTCAGAGGGCTCCTCCACCTGGCTGATGCCACTCTGCAGACACCTGAGAGAAGGAGAGAAGGGAAGGACTCAGCTTACCTGGTGTGAGTTGGGGGCTGGTCCCTGGAGATGGAGCACTAAGGGGTCAGAACTGAACCCTGGACCTCCCTGGAATGAGGGCACATGATGTACTGTAATCGATGGCCAGTCAAAATCACAAGGTAGGAGGTGGGAGGATCAACTCTCAAAGGAACAGGTGGAGCATTGAGACTAGACAAAGAGAGGAAGACATGCCCTACTGAGTCAAAAAGGTGAGAATTGAGGGCAAAACCCTGGGCACGCAGACCCCAGGGTGGGAAGTGGAAGAACATTCCATGCTGGACTCAGGGAACAAGCACTTGAGGGGTGTTGTGGGAACTCAGGGTGGCTCTGAGGGACAGGAACAGCTAGTATGCAGAGTAGCCACTGAGGCCATTGGCCAAAACTCCTGGCACAAGAAAAATTAGACTTCCCCACTCCCTTTGAAATTAGGTGCAGCCAGTGATGCTTTAGCCAAAGAAATGTGAATGGAAGTGACAAATGGCACCTGAAGGCAGGAACGTTGAGAGCTGGTACACGATCAGCTCTTTCCCTCTGCCATGGCCGATGTGGCTGGAGCTGCCCCCTCAGCCTGGTCCCAGAGCAACCATGGCTTGGACCAGAATCCCCAGCTGACCCAGCATGTAGTGCTGTGAGCAAGAAATCAGCATGTGTTGGTATAAGCCACCAAGAATCTGGGGTTGTCTCCTGCAGCATCAGCTGACTGGTGCAGGTAACTATTGCCTCCTTCCCTGAGGGAAGGACAAACGGCTCTCTTTGCAGCAGGGGAGGTAAGGGAACATGCTGGAGCCCTCTATACACCAACATCCAGTGCCCAGAGCCTGGGCGATGGGCTAGGAGACTCTGGAAGGTCTGTCTGTCTGGGATCTTTTCTGTCCTGCTAAGGTGTGTCTAATGGGCTCTAGTGAGGATCTGGATCTTGCCTAGCTGGCATCCTGTGCTACACCATCACTGCCAAGGCCAGGTCTGGGGTCAAGGTTGGGGTCCCCTGAAGAGAAGGATCAGAGAAAGGATCAGCAGGTGAACAGGCAAGGAGTGCTCACCCCACCCAGCTGAGCTGGCTCCCCCAGCAGCCAGTCACGGCCACGGGGAGAATGGGCTGCATGTTCAGGCACTGCAACTTGCGTGCTTAGCAGTGGAGGGAGGGGCCCATAGCTGTCCAGGAGAGCCAAGGCCATGATGGCTGGTCGATCTTGCCCAAGCTTGGTGGAAGAGGCCAGCAGAGCGTGGCCGGGTCAGAGGTTGTTTGAATGGCAGCCAGTGGTGGTGAGGAGATGAGGGTGTCCCCACAGCATGCCAGTCCCCACAGGACACATACATAGCAAGCGGAGGCTGAGTGTCAGGCCCTCTGCTGGGATGTTGTAGGTGGCTAGACAAGGCTGGTGAGCCTCTACCACAGAGGGGGAAGTGTTTGTGTGTGTGTGTGTGCACATGACTACACATGCCTATGTTTCAGCCCCACAATGTGGAGTGGGGGCTTCCTCAGAGACAAACACACTCCATGTACTTTATCAAATTTGCAGATGCTACACAGCTTGGGGGGATGATGGCAAATACACCAGATGACAGAGCTGGGATCTAAAGAGAAGCTGACAGGCTGGAGCGATGGGGTGGATCTAATGAGATGAAACTTAACAGGGACAAACGTGTTTATTTCATTTTATTTATTTGTGCCCTGCCTCCACAAACAGAGCGCTAGAGGAACAGTGGCTCCCAGGAGGAGAAAAATAACTAAGTTATAAGTGTCTGTGCACTGGGGGCCACAGACATGGGGGTGGAGCTGAGCTCCAGCGTGCGCTTGGGGGCTTAGAGATGGTGGTCAGCTTTACGTGCAGTAATGGGGGTTGGCTGCATTAATAAAAATGCAGCACCCAGGTTGAGGAGGGTAGTGGGGACTGGAGAGCCAGAGTGCCTGAGTCTGAAGTTTGGTACAGCCAGGCATCCTGTTGGGCCAGGGACCTTTCAGGCATCTCAGGCTTCTCCCCCTCCATGCAGTCCACCAGGGAATCTGGCCCTCATACCCCTCTCTCCTTTCCTATGACCAAGGGCACCCCCAGGCAGCCTCTCCCTTAAAATATGTCCAAGCAAGCATCAAGCCCGAGTCTCCAATGCTCCCCAACATGGGAGAGGGGGGACAGAGGTCAGTTCTGCCAAGAACTCCCTCCACGTTCCACCCAAAGTTGACAGGAACAGGCTCAGCTGAGGGTTGGGAGTGAGATGTGACTCTCCCCTCCAGCAGGCACCTGCCAGTTTCCTCATGAGGTCTCTTACTGGTCCCCATCTTGGCTTTGGCTGGGGAGAAGATTCAGCAAGAAGATGCTCACTGCCTCCAAACATCAGAAGGGGAAGGATAGGCTGTTCTGCGACCCTGAGGGCTGGGCCTTGGGAGTGGAAGCCTCAGGGAGACAAACCTCAGCTCTGCAGAAGGAAGGTCCTCACTGTTTTGAGCCTTGGGCTACCTCAGAAGATAATGAGCCCCCTGTCACTGGAGGTATGTCAACAGAGGCTGCATGGCGCTCAGCAGAGATGCTAGCATGGAATGGCTGGATGAGTATGAAAGCCTTACCTTAAGCTGAGACAGGGCAACACCAGGCAGCCTCTGGTTAAAGCCTGGTGGAGTGTCTCACCTGCAAGAAACCTCCTCCTGAATACAGTGCCTCTCCGTGGGGTCTCAAGAGTTAGATTGAGAAATGGAAGGAGGCTGAGGTGGCAGCCAGGAATGAGGGTGCCTGAGCAAGACCAAGGGCACTGTGGCCATGGGGCATGGCCAGCGGGCATCAGAGGAAGGGGGAGATTCCAGAGCTCTGGTAACCAGAGTCTCCCACCCCACACACACCTTCCCAGAGTCTCACCCTGAGGTGAACTCGCGCTCCAAGGAATGGCCAGACTCCAGGAAGCCTTTCCATGTCCCCTCCCTGAACCCCCAGCACAGCCCTCTTGGCACTGCTGATACCCCCAATAGAAGCTGATGTGCACCAGGCAGGGCCAAGGTGTCACCCCTTCTGCCACAGGCCCCAGCATCCTGCTAAAAGCCAGTAACTGCTGATACCCCCAATAGAAGCTGATGTGCACCAGGCAGGGCCAAGGTGTCACCCCTTCTGCCACAGGCCCCAGCATCCTGCTAAAAGCCAGTATGAGACCAGGATGGAGCTGGCTTCCCAATGCTGCCCCCAGGAGTCCTGCTGGTAGTAGGTGGCAGCAGCGATCCCTTGGGTAACGTCTGGCGTGCAGGGGGAGAGGGGCAGTAGGAAGAGCTCCTCCCTGTGTCACCACAGACCAGCCCCCATCACAGACACTACCCCCACGGTCCTGCCTTCCCTCCTCTCCCTGCTGGGAGGCACCTGGGGAAGGAGGCCCCCTCCCTACCCAAGGGGTACTCCGAGGAGGAATCGATCCGCTGCAGGGTCTGGGGAGGAAGTATGAGTGTCTGTGGGGCAGCAGAGCCTGGCAGAGCAGTAAGGACAAGCCAGAAAGGGAAGCAGGGAAAAGTGGGGTGGCACGGGCACAGCCTGAGCTGGCGACGGTGTGGGCTCCGGCTTTGGGTCCCAGGCGCTGTGCCTTCCATGTGACACACGTGGGCGCCACACTTCCTCTGGACCTCAGGTTTCCCATCTGTATAATGGGGATGCCACAGGCACCAACCTCACAGGTGCTGAAGGGATCAGACGGCACACTGCGCCGAGCCCGTCACAGAGTATCCATGAAGATGGTGGTGGTGGTGATGGTGACGATGAAAATGCAGGATTCCAGAGGGCGTGACTATGAGTAAATAAATGGAAACAACTGGTATTCAGACTTCAGTTAACTAATTACACAGAACTTTTCTAAGAGGCAGAGCCTCTCTGCCTGGAGCTACTGCATGAGGTGGTGAGCCTCCTGTCCCTGGAAGCATTCGAGCACCAGGGCCCTGTCGGGGAATGCCTGGGCCAGGAGGGGAGGCCTCAGAGGATGTGTGAGGATGGCCAGAAGGGGCCAGCAGCACAGCGGGAGGGGACAGAGGAGCCAGCCAATCTCCCCACGAGCTCTGGGACAGTAGTGACAACTGGGTCAGGCTGCTTGGCCTCCAAGCAGAAGGATCCCAGCCACAGGCTCTGTCAGAGGGGTGGGGCCCCTCCACATGGAGCTGACAGGGTCCATGCACCCCACGCCCAGTGCTGAGCCCTCCCTCAGCTCTGCTGGGGCCTCCAGGGTCTGTGTCTAGGGAGGGCCAAGGACTCAGCCGTGTCCCCAGACCCTGGTCCCTGCTGGTGCAGCCTCACAATGGTCCCCAAAGACGGTGTTTCTCCCTCTCCACCCTCCAGAGCAGGGCCTGGGATAGGGCTGTTCAGGAGAGAAGGGGTGCAGTTGGGCAAGGAGCAGGGCACAGAGTGCAGAGCCCATTTCTTCCCTTGCAACCTGCCCTGGTACCCAGGCTGCTGGGGGGCTGCCGGGGGTGCCCACCTGTGCGGGTGATGGATTAGGGGCTCATTCCTTCATTTACTCTGAGGCCTCCACCTCAGAGAGACTGGCTGCCGCCCTGGAAAGAAGCAGGGGGAGCTAGGTACAGGCAAGAGCCCTGATCGTATCACAGCTGCCAGCCAGACTCGGACATGGCTACAGTGCTCTCTGCCAGCCCTGGCCTTGCAGGAGGGGATACAGGTCACTCTTAGCCCCCAGACTGTCCCCCAACTCCTCTGGGGAGGGTGTAACCAGGGCAGGGCAGGAGGGAAAGGGGTGGGCTGAAGGAGGAGCAGAGAGTGGATCCTCCCTGGCTGGGGGCCCATTTTGGAGCCAGAGGAAGCTGATGACCCCCACCCCTACCCCAGGAAATGCTCTGACAACTGATGGAGACAGTGACCTGGCTAACAGTCTCCACAAGGAGGCAGGGGCTTCAGGGAGGCTCCAGGGATACAGGGAAGCTTCCTTGACAAAACCCAACCAAATCCAGAACAAATAAAACCTCTCCTAAGAGGAAAAGACCTGAAATTCCACCATTAAAGATTCATTCCTTTAGCTTAACACTTTGTCCTTTTAAAAAATGCAAACCTATCAGAGCCTCACTTACAAGAAGGTTTGTCAAAGGAAAGAAGAGAGAGAATGCATAGCATCCCAGTGAAGAAAACATGAGCAAGCCAAGGGAGAAAGCGGAGGGAGCAGGTTTCCCAGGATTTACTTTGCTGGCTACACAGCTTTGGCCAAAGGCCAGCTCTAAAAACATCTGCGGAGGAAGGAAGCTGAATCTCCCAAGGCTGTTCCTGTGTTCAGGGAGTGAGATGGACAGAACAGCTCAACCTCCAGCCGAAGACACCATTCACAGATGCATATGCCCCCATACCTGTAAACACGTGCACCAGCGTACAAGTGCACACATGAGAAACTACACATGCAAACATGCACCCAGCCCCCCCACCAAGCTCACTGTGGGTGACATGGAATCCAGGGAACAGAAGCCTTGGGGCCCAGGTGACACGTGGGGGAAGGCAGGGGGAGCCGGTTCCACTGTCCCTCCCAGCACCTCTCCAGGGTGGTTGCCCTGGGCTGTGTGGCACTTGGGGTTGTGTTCTAATTTAGAGTCAAAGCTTGTAGCCAGTGAATATTTGTGGAGAGTCTTCAGGATGCTGTTGGCTACCCTTGTGACGCCTGAGAAGTGGAGCAATTAACCCATTAGTGAGGATTAGCTTTTCACATTAACGCTGCCTTGGCCTCCCGGACCTCCTGCAGCATCCCTCCCATCCTCTCTGGGTCCTCAGCCCATTCCAGGGGCAGAACCCACCCATACTGGTTAGTTCTTTACGGGCTTCAGCAGGGCAGGGGCAATATCCTGGGGTCTCTTCCTTTCCTTCTTTTTCCTACTGTGGTAAAATACCCATCCCTTCTTTTTAAGTTTAACTTTTAGAAAAGTAACACATAGATATAACTTTAAAAATCGAATAGTAGTTCATGGCTAGTGCATGACAGGTGTCACACAGATACAGGAATGAATGAAAGAGAAGCCTTTCCTAACATCTCTCCAGCTCCCCACCACAGGACACTCAGTGAGCATGGCCATGAGCTCACACATCCTGCTTGACAGGTAAGAAAACTGAGGCCCTGAGCCTCAAACTGGTGGTTAGATAAAATGCTGGAAGCGCAGGGACTTGCCTCAGGTCACCTACAGCTTGGGGCTGAACCCAGCCCTCCCCAGTCAGCTGGGGACAGCCCTCCCTGGCATTGCCCCAGGGCCTGGGATGGTGAATTGGCTCTCACAATCCAGGCCTAATTTGACCTGCCCCCTCAGAAGGAACACAGGAATGAAGGCCAGGACACCAGAGGAGTGAAAGCCAGAGCGCCAGTTCAGGGAACTCTGAAATTCCACCATTAAGGATTCATTCCTTTAGCTTAACACTTCATCCTTTAAAAAAATGCAAACCTATCAGAGCCTCACCTACAAGAAGTCTTGTCAAAGGAAAGAAGAGAGAGAATGCATAGCATCCTAGTGAAGAAAAACGTGGGCCTCCTCTGGCCTTAGAACTCGGGGTCTAGGCTGCCAGAGGAGCAGGCACTGGGTGGCTAGCAAGGCCAAAATAGGACACGAGGTGAGAGAGAAAGCTTGCAGGGCCTGTGGGATCCACATGGCTGGATCTCTGCTGCGTGTCACCCGGGTCACTGCGGCACTGGCTATTGGACCCCCCACAATCTTAGTGCCTTGCAGGGGCTTCTCAGTCCAGTCCGAGGCAGTGGGAGCCAGTGCTTCAGCTTCCTCACCTATGAAATGGAGACAATAACAGCATTTCCTTCCTGGGCTTAGGAGTGTGCTCAGCAGGTTGAGACAGTGGTTGGAATGGTGCCTGGCAAACAAGAGCTTTATATGTGTCTGCTGACAGTGCCGTTCAAACATCGTGACTGGAGCCCTTCCTCCTGCCACCTGGCCCTGAGCATCCCCCTGCCTTCCTACGTCCTCCAAGGCCCTCACTGCCCGCAGCAACCTCCAGGGCCCCTCGGGGCAGAGAAGGGGGCATGGGGAGTGGGCTGCCTGGAGACCAAACTCCTGACCATCGACCTCCCCAGGCCCTGCCGGTGTGGGGACAGCTGCTAGAGGACAGGCTGGGGGCAGGCCAAGGATGGATGGCCACTCTAGTCCCGCTTGCCCAACTCAGCAGAAACCAGAACCGGCAGTAATGGGCTGGCAGCGCCCAGCTGCAACCAACTTCATTTTCTGTCACAATTAAATGATCGCCTGAGTTTGCTAGTGCTCACTTATTCAATTACCTGCTCGGCCCTGAAGGACTCACAGAAAAACAGCCATAAATAACGTACCGCCCCCCAGGCTGTCATCCCTGCGCATCTCAGAGGCACAGCCCAGACCTTCCTTCGAGCACAGGACCATCGCCTGTGCGTCCATTTTCCCAAGAAAATCCTCCCCAGCTCCCACTACCACTTCTGAAAGTCTAATCCTGGCCTGGAAGTCTGCACATCTAGGTCCCCCTCTGGCTCTCCCCACCTGCAGACCTCTGGTTCCTTGTCTGTGAAACAACAGAAGAGTCTGTGTGAGCTGTAAAGTGTTGCCTTGCAAGCAGCTACGGTAATGGATGTGGATAAAATGAAAGTTCCTGTGACAACCTAAGACAGGCACAGTCACAGGGGGGCCATCAGGTGAGAAATTGGGGATCAACAGAGGTGAGGCTTAGAACCTCACCCCCCGTTTTGAGAGAAATCTTCTGCATCCGTGGATGTTTTGTTGCCCTTGTCTAGCTTGGATTAATACTTAGTCTACAGGCACACACCTGGTCATCTACATTTGCCCTCTTACAGCACTAAACTATGTTTTCTACCTTTATCTTGCATCTACCTACCNGTACTGTTCACCATTTAAGAACTTATTCACTGTGTAAGAACTTGTTCACCATGTAAAAACTTGTTCGTTATGCTTCAGAAGATTGGAGACTGTTGAGAGTTAGGCTTGGGGTTGATTAATGATTGTGCATTGAGTCCCCTGTACAGAATTTATTGTTAACAACCATATGATCAATAAATATGAGAGATGCCCTCTCAAAAAAAAAAGAAAGTTTCTGTGGCCAGGATTCTCACCTGGCCCTGGTCAGCTAGCTCATTACACATGTGTGGGCAATACGTTGCTATTGACTCTATATAAAGAGCTCCGCTCTGGGCCATACAGTGGCACAGCTGCACAGCTGCAAGGCTACAGGAGAGCAGAGCAGGGGCTGGAGTGGTGGCGGCACTGAGGACAGAGACTGAGACGGCTGCGGGGGCAGAGAAGCCCAGAGGCAGAGACCGGCTTGCTGCGTGCAGACTTGCTCTGACTGAACAGGATTTTAGTGATTGACCTAACACTATGTAAATAAAGTTGGGTATAACCTTTTCACTCCAAGAACGTTTTACTGTCATTTCTTCGGTCACATTGAATCCATAGTGAACTTACCTGGGGCTGAAACCCATTGGCAAGACATGGGCTGGAAAGGGCCCCACAGGAGCAATGGCCAGAGGGCCAGAGCCGTGGGGACTGAGCTGGCCCAGGTTTGCAAGAGCCTCCTCCAGCCTCAGAACTCGGAGTCCAGGCTTCTGCCCTGGTCCTCCCTGAGGAGCTTCATGGTCAAAATGTGGCAGAGTCGAGAAACAAGGTGTTCTCTCTCCACCTGCCAATCCAGATGCCCAAAGACTTCTGGAAATACCCTGATCATCTCTGCCTCTGTGCCTTTGTGGCTGTTATTCCCCTTACTGTTCCCGTCATTCACTTCTTTGCCTGGAGACTCCTATGAATGCTTCAAGACCCAGCTTAGATG